GATATATATTTAAAGGACGCAGTATTTCCGGAACATTTTCAAAAATTAAGTTGAAAAAGTTAGTTTTTGTAAAAAAGTTGCTATTTTAAATCCCCTCCAATGAGCAGGTTAAGTGTTAAATTTTCAAAAAAATGATATCAAATGAAAGGGAAATATCTAAGGTTTTAGTATAAAAAAAAATTATGTTGATTTGTTGATTTTTGAAAAAGTTATGGATGTTTTAAGAAAAAAAAGTGAAAAAAATGACAAAATTTACCGATTATTAAATTTGTAATTTTTTTTGGAGGTTTCCCTCATTTACGGGGAACGAGGGCAATTTTTTCAATTTTTGAGGGTAATGTCTTCGACTAGATACAGTTTGTGATCTTTTGATGTATCGTTGAAAGAAATCCGTTAGGTGAAAGCTGAGAAAAAGTGGTAACGGACAAAAAAAACACATCATAATAAAACCAATACCTTCTCAGCTTGGCATCGAAGCTAAAAAATGTCCTCGTCGTAGTAAAGACGTTTTTATATAATAATTCTCGAGAGGCAAAATTTATAAAAATCCTCTGAATGTATATCCATGTATATTATAAAAATTGGTATTACAACAAATTTCCTTTGTTGAACTATGTGTACAAAATAACTATTAAAAAAAGCAAAATTGAATCATTTATTAGATTTTTCTTGACGAGGAATTACTTTTTAATAGAAATCCCCATCATTCTTCTGATTCCTTTCAAAAACGTAGATGTTATAATATAAAATGAAAAAATATTCAAAAAATGATAATAATAATAATGAACTTGTTGAACATTATCAAAATAAATCGATCACTAACATTTTAAAAATTAAAAAAATCATAAACAATACAGATTTATTTTAAGCGACATTAGTAATATTTATTAATATTAATTTCACAAAAACATTTTTCAATAAAGTATTTATTCTAACCTTGCTAAATAAAACAACGTTATCACTTATTTTATAAATCTTTTTCCCAAAAAAATAAATAAACATAGTATTTACTGCTTTTTGACGTTTAATTAAAAAAAATTAAACTTTTAAAGAAAAAATATTACTTTTAGAAATTAATATAATGATGATACTTGAAATTTTTACTTTAATACCTTCTTTACGCCAGCAAAATACATCGTTAGTGCATAGTTTTTGAGTAATGTCAATTGAATAATCAGATAAACAAAATTAATTTATTTAGATTTCTTAAATTTAACTTAACATGCATAGAATATTTTTTTGAGAATACGAAAGTCTAAGAGTTCTTAAACGAATGCTTAAAACATACTACTTCAAGGCGTAACCAAAAATTGGTTGGTATCATAGCAGAACTAAGTGAAACATGTAAATTAGTAAAATTATAATCAGAGCGTACTTATTTTGTATGAAAGAAGTCAATAACAAATATATTGAATATAACACAGTTGAAAAATGAGTGAACTAATCTTTCAAAACATAATAATCATATTAGAAATAGATAATCAATCAGAATAAGTGCATTTATGTGAGATTTGGGTGTAGAAGCCCTGATAAATGACTCTTTTAAAGTATTTTTATTGGGGTAGCGAAGACTGCCTTGTCTTTTCATCTAAAAATATGAAAATATTTTACTACATAAAGCAATGTAGTCAAAAATCTCGGCATGTTTATTATACAGAATTATGATATAAAATATCAGAATAATCCTTAATAAAACAAAAATCCTTAAATATCAATATTTGTACTTCAAATTAGTTACAAATAAACTTTCATAGACATTAAAATATTACAGAATTGGGAAAATCTTTTGAAATGTATTCTTAATGAAATCCAGGTATCATGAGTAAACCTAAAAAAATTAAAGCCTTTCTTATAACTGTCCTAAGTTTTTAAAATAAATGTATTATGAGTTACTAAAAAAATTTTTTAATGATTTATTTCTTTTATTAACAAAACTTTGGTTTGAATTGGAAACACATTAATAATTAATAATTACATAGAAATAGATTAAAAAAAAACTTATTTTTTAAATGTAAAAATCTCCCTGAAAAAAATTAGTTAATAAACCTTAAAATGTTAAGCTAGACAAATTTCAATTATATTTTGATGAATAATTGAAAATTAGATTACACTTTAATAAATCAGTAAAACCTAATTAGCTAAAAATAGTTTGTTTTTCTTAGAACTTTATATTTAGACATTATATTATATTAATTATTAATAATTTATAACTCTTTGTCTTTTAACTTAGCTTTACAATCAATTTTATTATTAATAATTAAATGTGTCAGTGCAAAAAAATTAACAGCTCCAATTTTTTTGTTAAAATCATATTTTTATAAATTTTTGTTTAGAAAATTTGTTTTTTTAACTTATATTAAGAAAATTTTTAAAACTGTAATAGGAACATGACTTTTTTAAATTGTCCTTTTTAAGTATTCTTACAAAAATTACAATATTTTTTACATTTTTAAAAAGTTAAAAAAAATGAGTGCTGTTGTGTTATTAAAATGACATCTGTATATATGATAATACCTTTTGATGTGTCAAAACGTTTCCCTTACCCGAGATCTTAATATTAGAATAATAATAGAGACCATGTATGGTATAAGCCATTTCTCTCCTAATTATAATGATAGAAAAATTATATTGTCTTTTCAGCAACAAAACTTACTAAAAAGACTAAAAAAGCAAAAATGATTTTACTGAAAGACTAATATTATTTTTGTAAGTATAATTCCTAATTAGTATAAATACAAATATTTGATATATGAAATTGCTTTAGGAAATATTTGTAGCTTATTTCAATAACTAAAAAAAATATATGAATTGATTTCCAATATAAATGTATAATACAACATTAAAGGGAAAATGAGACATGTGTCATTTCTGCACTTGACAATATTCAACTTGATGATTTTTTTTCATAAGTAATTACCAGAAGTGTCTTTTTTTAACACCCAATATTTATGTATTAGGAACCAAATTATGTGATAAAATAAATTTATCAAAATTTGGACACTTTTTGAATTTGGTAATTCATCTAAAGAATATTTTTAATTGTGAGAACAGAAAATTTGTATATTACTTAGAAATTAATTACGAATATAAGATAATTTATTTATTTCACAGTTATTTGAATTTCATAAGGTAACACAAATTGTTTTGAAGTGACAAAAATCTTATCTTATCTTAATTATGTAATTATTTTTTTAATATTTTTAATGCTTTCTTAGGCCATTAAGAGACATAGCAGCCTCCCAAAATGAGTATGTTTTTTTAACAATAGATACACCAGGAAGGGTGGTTAGTCAATCATCAAAGAGAGGGATAATGACTCCAACTACCCAATTGATCTCTCGTTTAGCAAATGCAGCTGAGTTTCAAACTTAAACAGTGCGCACCAAGCACTATCGGATTATCAAAACAGTCACACCGTCTCTATTTTGTAATTATTTTTCAATAAAATAAAAAAATTTAGAATTTCTTTAAAATCTTAATAAATTAATACAAAATTTACAAATTAATTTTTAAAAATTTCAAATGTTCAAATTTGGAAATAAATTTAAAATTAACTAATAATTTGCTAGAATTAATAATAAATTAATAAAATTTCTCTTTTTTAATAAAAAAAAAAAAAAAAATGATTAACAACTAAAATAAAATAAATATAAATTCAAAATATAGCACAATTATAATAATTTTACAATTTTTTATTTTACTTAATTAATGCCAGTCAAAGAATTGAGAACACATAGTTCAGATTTAAATATATATATTTTTTTGAAGGATTTTGCCTACTTATCAGTACTTATAAGTATTTTAAAATTTTTATCAACCCATCATAATTTTTGGTAAGAAAATAGATAAAAATGAGCGTTGTAAATTTTAGAAAAAATAAAAATCATTTTAATTATTAGTGATAAATAATTAAAAAAGTGCTTTAAACATAATGTATAAATATAATTGTTATTTAAAAAAATTTCAATAAAATGGTAATTTTATTAAAAGTTATTACTATTGTTGGCTAGGTCTAAAACACTCTATATATTTTTTTTGTAATTGTAGTTTTTATAAAATAAATAAATTCAGAAAAATTCTTGTGTACTTCAGTAATACATTTTATTTCCATAGTGTCCCAAACTTTTGATAGCAGTGTATAAACATAATATATTTGATATATATATATATATATATATTGCTGTCATATTGTTAAATTTAATTAAAATTTTTTTTTCACATTAAAATTCAATTGACAATACATTTAAGTATATTATTATAACATATAATAATCTTTATTTAAAAGTAATTAAATATCTTATTACAAAAAGAATTAAAAAATTGAATTTTTAATTTACCTAATTATAATAAATTAATATTTTTTTTTCAGAAGAAAAATCTTCTAATAAATATTAATAATCTTCAAATAATAATTGTAATAAATATTGACATATTTTTGTATTATATTTAAGGAACAATTAAAAATTAAAATATATATATATGTATATAGTAAAGTACTTACATTATCATTAAGTATTAGATGAAATAATTATCATAACTCAATTAAGTATACGCATTCAACTACCATACATCCCAAATTAAAAAACTAATGTATTATTTTTTAAAAGTACATTATACAAACACATATGTCTATTACATACTAACATAAAAGAAAATAAAATAGAATAAAAAACGTTAACGATCACATAATATGAGAATGTTAAAATTAATAACTAATAAGTTTAATGTTGTCACTTGTCATAGTATAAAAATTACTGTGTTTAATCTTATCTATCTGCAGTTTGCATTCAGTATGATTCCCAGAAAGCGAGTTGAATAATAACCTTGTAGAACGTAACAGCTGAGTATTAATCTATAAGTATTATCACAGACTATATTTTCATATAGCTGTGGTATCATTGCTAGCTATCCTGATAGCATGATTTATTATTGTTATTATTATTAATTGATAATAGATAATAATTATTATTACAATTATTGTAATTTATTTCGATTTATATTATAATCATTACTCGATATTACATTAAATATAATACGCAAACAAGTTGTTATTAAATAAGTCATAAATACAATTTTATCTAAATTTGAGTTTTAATTATAACAAAATTTTTGTTGATGTAGCATTTGTAAATAAATCTGAATTTTTTTTAAATTAAAATTTGTATTTTTGATTATAGCTAAGATATTCTTAAAACAGCTTAAAATGGATCTTTATCAAAATGATAATATAGATGAACTAAAACTGGGTGATTTACACCATGAAACAAATACTAAGTATGCATCTCATAATTTAATAAAAAAATTTTTAAATAAACAATTTTATCAGTATAAAATATATTATTTTGTAATTTTTATAAAATACAATAAAAAATTTTGCATAATGGCAAGCTTTTATGCTCCCGCATAATTAAAAAAAATTTTTTTTATTTATTTGTTTTTTTTACACAGATTAAGAATATGCAAAATTTTAATTTGTTGAAAATTGTGAAAAAGTTATAGTATGATGAAAATGCACTGCCTGATAACAGTATTAAATACAAACTTTAAACTATTTAACTATTTTTGACAAACAAGGTTTTACATATTTATAATCAGTGTATAAAATAAATTTATTAAATAAAATAGACAAATTGTGTGGGACCTAAACTGCATTTGTCCTAAAAAATTTTTTAATGCATTCTTCTATGCACTATGATTTTATAATGCTAGCTACTTCGTTTTTTTCTTAAAATAACAATTTTTTTGTGAGTATTTTTTTGACAATTTTAGTTACATATGTATCAACATTATTCTGTGCCATCCCTTATGTCGTATAGGACTGTCACTTTTATTTCATTAATGACAACATACAAATTTAACTAGCTTATAACAGAAAATGATGTAATTAAGAAAACGACGGGTCAATAACAACTTTTGGAATAGTATTACAAGTTATTAATATTTTTATAACTAAGCAGGAAAAGAAATAAAATAAAAAAATGTCTAGTAATAAAAATAGTAGGCCCTGTGCCTCATCTCTAGTCTATACTTAATTTATTTAAAATTTTTAAAATACTAGTCTAAAAGTTATTATTGACCAGTTATTTGCTTAATTAATCATTTGTCTTTAAAAAAGTAAAGTTGACACCCCTATAAGACGTAACGAATGAACATAAAAAAAAGTTAATAACAAGTAGATTTAAATACATAAGTAACTAAAAAAATAAAAATAAATAAATTTAAAAAAATGATTATTTTTAGAGAAATGGAGTGGCTATTATTAGAAAAAATCATTCTGTATACAGATTATTCATTGTTACTTATATCAAATCAATTCTAAACTATTCATTTCTGATATTATTAAAGCTCTAATACAAACTTGTAAATAGATAATATATTTCTATCAATTGTAAAGTATTCAGAATTGTTAATTTTAATTGGTATTAAATTTAAATGAAAAATTACTATTAACATGCTTTTGTCCATAATTTTTAACTTAACTATAACTTTTATTAAATGTGTTTTTTTAAACTAAATTATTGTGATTTTATAGATCAACAAAACACTTCAATATTAAAAAGGTAAAATTTTGTTTTTTATTTACTTCTAAATTTACTCTTAGAATGTAGAAAAAACTAACAATAGTTTTTCCTTTTAATTTTGTATTGATAAAAAATTTAAATAACATAAAAAACTTTTCCATAAAAATGTTTTAATTGATGAATTTATCCATTTTTCTTATAAAAAACACAGAGATGTAGTTATTTGTAAGACATTTTTCTTAGTTCATAAAATTATGCATTTTAAATTTGAAATATGTATTTTAATATTCAAATTTTTTTACAGAATAATTTAGACATTGATCAAAAATCTTCTAAACGTAAAAGTGAAATTATTAGTTCTACTAATGTAAAAAAGAAAAAAAAATATGAAACAGCCTTAGCTGCAATCTATCCTGAAAATGATCATTCACATTCACAGTTTTCTCAAGGTAATATTTGTATTAAACATTACATTTTATTACTTTACAAATTAATTAATAGGTGAGGGTTATAATATAATATATTCAGGAAAGAGTACTTTGAATTGGTCTTCTTTCTCTTTACTTTATTTAAATTAAAATTTAGATCTATTTTAGATTTAGGTCTATTTAAATTAAATTTAGTATTGAAATCGTAAGATATTAATAATGTAGTTATTTTTTTTATAGTGATTAATTGTCTTATGTAGATAATCTATTTATCTATTTACTATAATTTAATTAATTTAATTAATTTAAACTACAACAATATTCAGCCTCAAATAAAATGGAAAATTTAAATTTAAAAACTGTCATAAAAACATAACTATTTCTGCTAAAAATAGAAGAAAAAGAATAACAACAATAATGTTGTAAAAGTGGTACTTAATTAATGTGTATCAAAAATTATTTAAACCAGCATAATGAACAGCATTGTCCCTGTGGATATGGGATAAGAATACTTCCATGGTCTCTCTGCCAATTGTAAGAGGCAACTAATGAGGTTGTGTCAGGTCGAAAGCCAGCATAAAATTTTGTTAAAAAGAATGAGGAGTCCTAAACAACACTTAGATGGAATGTTCTATCTTGGATGTATATGGGATCAACAGGTGAGAAGAAATAAAGTAGTTAGAAACAGAAAAGGCCTAAAGAATAAAATGTTTAATACCAGCCAGACAACTTTTGCGGTAGCTGTTTCACTAATCATGTTTATTAAACGCTTGTTGTGTCAACAGTGTAACGACATCATCACTTAACTTTAGGCTACACTCATGTATAAGGGAGAAAGATAGATGCAAAGTAAGAATAGGTATGTGAAATTTTGGAATATTAACAGGTAGAAGTAGAGAGTTAGTAGAAGTATTGAAGAGGAGAAAAATTAACATTTGTTATGTGCAGGAAACTAAGTGAAATGGAGAGAAAGCAAAAAAAATAGGCGAGGGTTAAAAAATAATATCTTTAGACAGTTGTCTTGAATTCTGTTTTTGTCAACATAAGAGTCGCCATATCCTTTTTATAGAATGCCTCTTGGAATTGGGTGTACATGTGATATGGTACAGCATACTTATCATTCGTAAAGTCCATTCGTACGTTGCCGTAAGGGTACGATTCTGAGTTCAAGTATACTTTTAGAGATGATAACGAACAATAGTCAAATTGTCTTTGTTTATTTTGTTTTTCTGTCCACTTGAAAAGCTGCAATAACAAATCTTGGGCTCTCAGGGTGCGATGAAGTTTTTACGGTCCAGGCTGATCTTTTACTATTTGGTAGACCAAGATTTTCATATAGATCCCAACTTCGAAATGCTCTTTGAAGCGGTGTTTCTGCTTGAAGCGGTTTGGAACTTTCCATATAACATTGTTCAAAATAAAATTACAACTCGTTAAATTTTCATTTGTTGATTAAATACAGTTTAAATATGTACCACTCCGTTGCAATATTAAGTCTTGACTACAATTAACGATGACTTTTTTTATGATCCTCGACATCCTAATAATAACCTTAGAGGTATTCATACTTCAAATTTCATACTCGAATTTGCAGTTACAACACTCCAGCCAGCATTTTCAAACCGTGTAGAATCATTTGGTGAAAACGTGACGTATCCTTTTATTGTAGACATTATCCCAGGTATACGTGATCTATCTATTTCTACTGAGTTCAATAAATATCTTATTTCAATGAAGCAGTGAGCCAGCCAATTGTTAACCAATTGAACATCTGAGCCGGCAGGAACTCCCGAGAGTTCTCCCTCATTTAAAAGATAGGAATCAGATGGAAGGGTGTAAACATCTTGCTGTTGAATACATATTCGTATTTCATCATTATTTGATAGTGCGCTAACCGAAAATGGTTGATAGGAAAAATAGTCCAATTTCACTATGCGATCTTTATTGTACGGTGTTTCCATTGCTTCTAAAATATCGTTCATTGTTAATTGTATATCCTAAAGCAAAAAGAATGTTAAGGTTTTAACGTCGTTTCTCTTCAACTAGTTGTGGTTTAATGATTGGTTTTTTAGTATTACTCTTAGTTTTATTGAATCGAAGAGCCATCACGTATATGTAGACGTATGGTAACAGACTTACCTCTAAAGTTAATTGTCTTATCGTCATGATCTGTTATTTTCACAGTAATAGAGTATAGTTGATTGGATATTAACCCAACTAGCTGGCACTCCTGGATTAGCGTTGCCAAATGCACCATAAGCAACGTTACAATTTATTTTTATACTAGTTAAATTATTTATGTTAGCGACTTGATCTGATATAAGTATTTTATTTGCGTCGAGTTTCTTTCGATGAAAGTCTAAAATACCGTCTATACTATTTTCAACGCTAATATCTATCTGTCGGCTACACTTTAATTCAGATTTTAAAGTGTTTTTATTAGCTTTCAACATGAATGAGACTTTATACGTCTGAAGACGTTCTTCTAGATATTTACTAATGTCTTCAAGTTCATAAGTGCCTTCAGGCACTTTAATTTCTATATTATTTTCAAGAAGCTCGTTATTTGTATTTATCAAAGTGAATGTATTGTTTGACTAGTCAATATTTGATATTGAATTACATCCGTAAAATCCTAATAACGCAAGCTCTGGTGCTTCAGTAAATTTTATTGGTGGAAAAAAACTTGATGTGACTTCCGACATTGTTCCATGCAGCGTAAGAGTGTGTTATATTTTTGTTTCTAACTATAATTATATTTCACGAGCGATCCGATGAAATATTTTTCAAGTTCCAGCGGAGATATTAAATTTCTGAAAGAGTCAAAAAACAAATTAACAACTGTACTCTCGTATATTTTAGGCTTGACAGACAACTTATCTCTCGAAAAGATATCGCGGAAATGACTAATTCCGAATGACTCAGCATATTTTATAATAAATAAATCGTTATGTACACACATTGCTTGGGTAGTGTTGATGTTAGTTTTTTTGATGTTTCAAATAGAATCCTCTACCCTTCCTCTTTCCAACATATAGGTGCAAGTATAAAGCATTACCGATTTTCACAGGTTTATTTGAATTAGCGTTTTTTCTGACTTCATGTGCCGGTCTTACAATACTCGATACTCCACCAGCCAACGATCCTAAAGCTGAAAGTCCAGCAAAAATAGGAACGAGTGGTAGCACACCATCAAATTTAGGTACTCTGATAATGCGAGGTGTTTTAAATTTTTAATTTAAGTACACCACCAAAGCCATTACAATTTTTCTTTTAGCTTTCATGGTATTTGTTACAGTATACGCAACAGCTTTTTCTCCAAATGAACTATCGTTCGCTTTTACGCGGTCCCATGCGCGTTTTTTTCAGTTCGTAATCAGCCAAATGACATTCCGATAAATAATTTGTTCTTGCATACGCAATATCATGTTCACGACACGCTGCAAGGAGTGCTGGAAATACAGATGTGGGAAACGAAATAGAGTCAATAGAAGAAGAGTTACGAGATCTAGGTGTAATATAATGAGTAAAGTAGCAGAGAAAGTAGCAAATGAACTACATAGGCCAACTAGAAAAATGTTTCCTAGAAGAAGAGTTGTATCGTATCGTAATCTTCATCGACCGTACACCCGATATCCGTATCGAATAGCAATGCCCTAGCTCGAGTCTTGAAGGCGCGGTCTTCGGGTGGTGCTTTCGATCGTGGTATATGGTATGAGGCCTCCAATTTGAGATTATACTTGATGTCCGATCAAGTATAATCTCAAACAGAGATGAGAATGCTTAGATAGATAAGTGGAGTGACTAGAGAAGATAGGATAAAGAATAAACATATAAGAGTGAGTATAGATGTAGTGTGAATTGTGGATAACATTAGAGGAAATATACTTAGATGGTTTGGTCATCTTTTAAGAAAAGAGGAATCGGAAGCTGTAAGACCAGTTAAATTAATATTGAAGGAAGAAGAGGTAGAGGAAGACCAAAAAAGAGATGAAGGGATGTTATTCAATGCAATATGTGGATGGCTGATGTATGCGTAGATGATGTGAGAGATTGTGTCAAGTGGAAGTTTAGAATAAGGGTGGCCAACCCAAGTAGTTGGGATAATGGTAAGGAAAAATAATAAGAAGATTATATTTTATTACTTTCTATTAAAGTTCAATCTGAAAATAAAAAATTCAAAAATCTCTTTGATATCCACTTTTACTTTTTTTCTTCTATAACTTTATTTTCTATTATTAAATGTATATATTTATTTTTGCAAATTATGATATTAAAAAAAATGTAGATAAAACAAATTAACTTGAATTTTATTAAAATTTGTGAAATAAGTTTATTACTTGGCTCAAATGGGTTGTTAATATACTATTTATTTTCTTTAATTATAACTATTCAAAATTAATAAATATATCCTCCAAAGCTATTGTTTTTAACAGGTATAATAAAATTCCTTAAATTATATGTTTAATTATATTTGATATATTTTTGTAGATTATGCTGAAGGATTCATAAAAAAAATACGAGAAAGATTAGATGTTGAATCTTTTAAACATGCTATAAAATTATTAGGTTCTCTAAGTAATACTGATGAAAATATTACTTCATTGTATCAACAAATCACTGAAATATTAACAAATAAAAATGAAGATTTAATCTATGAATTTTTGGGATTTTTACATCCTGGACAAGCTTTGTCAATTGGGAAATTCTCTGAGTACTTAGAACTAACAAGAATGAAAGAGTTTATTAGAAAATTACAGGTAAGAATGTCAACTAGTATGATTTTTGTTGTTATTATAAATATATTATTAATAAGGCTGCTCATAGTTTATATTCAGAAGGAAAAAATAATTATAATTGTAATAAATATATCTATTCCTAGCATAGAAATAGATTCCTAAGATTCTTATCTAGTTTAGTAAGAATTTTAAATAAAAGTATAAATAAATATGTAGAAAGAAAGTATTTTCATCTTGTACTTAATAAATTTATTATTATTATTATTTTATATTTTGTAACAGTATCAATAGTAAAAATTATTAGTTAACTTTACAACAATGTTAATGACTACTATAAAATTATTATTTTTACCTATTGTATACTAGTTTTCAAAACCAATTTTTTCAGTTACTATTTGATATTCAAAACGATTGTTTCACTCTCGCTTCTACGTTAAATGTGTAGTCTTTGTTGTATAATTTTGTTTATAAATTGTTCACAAGAATATTTGGACGATTGGTAAGTGTTTTAAACAAGCTAACTATTAAGTGGATCGCATGTACGACAGATCATATTTCAATAAATAGAAATAACAATGGATAGTGATGGCAATTCATCTTATGCAAACATAACTATTATCTCATTTATTTTGAAACAAATGTAAGCTGATAATGATATGTTAAAAAAACAAGTCGCGGAACTGCAAGAGAGCAATAAAAAATTACAAAAAAAAATTTTCAAATTGAATCAAGGTGCCTTTGATGAAATTATGAGCTCACCCAAGATAATGATTCAATTAACAAAGGAAAATGTGAGTATTATCACCAAAGTTCGTAAACCACCAGCTGTAACAATGTGTGGTGTTACCAATGTAAAAAAGTTTATTTGGAACATGACAATAAAAAGGCTAAGGATCATGAGCAACTTGTAAGAACTTAAGCTAATTATGACATTAAGGTTTTAACAAACGACGAACATTAGTTACGTCGAACAAAAAAAATTTTCAAAGCTGTTATAACAGGACTACATTCATAGACTAACATCTGTGACATCAAAAGAGAGTTAGCAGACTTAGGCCACCTGGCACACAGTTTCACAAATTTTCTTATAAAAAAGAAAAATGATCAAAATAACAAAAACAGCGATTGGATACACATTAGATTACCATTATTTTTTGTAGAGTGAGAACTACTAACAAATAATAAAGACATCTTTCATGTAGATAAATTGTGTCATCACAACATTCAAGTGGAGCACACTAGGAATAAAAAGGAAGATGTACCACAGTGTAAAAATTGTCTAGCTTTTAACCATACACAAAACTACTGCCACAAAACTCTAATATATGTAAAATGTGGTGAAAACACAAATCTGAAGCTTCCTCTAAGTCTAAAAAGACTAAAGCAATATGTGCAAACTGTGGTGAAAATTATACATCCAATTGGAAAGGACGTTAAGCTTATAAAGCAGCTGAAGCAAAAGCTTTTTAAAAAAAGGTGATTGCAGTCCAACACATAAAAACAAAAGCGTATATAAATTAAAATGGAATATCTTATGCTCAAGCAGCCAAAAGAAACATCGATACAGAAGTCTAAACTAAAATTACAACAAAAACAACATTACAAGCTAAGCTATCACTTTGCAATGTACTATTAATATTAAATAGTATTACCCAGACATTAGCAAACTAATGTAAGACATTGATAAATTAAAAAATTCCACAAGAAAAGTTTGCTAAAAATTTTAGCATGCATTTAAATTCTAAACTAAATTGAAGTATTCACATTAAGATGAAAAAAAAATAAAGAAAAATATGTATTAGTTAATTGGTTGGAAATCACAACTATTAATAGAAAATAAAAGACTACTTTAAGTAGCTATTTTAAAGCTAATATGGACCTACAGTATCCAATTATGGGTCTGCGCTATAAGTCTTGGATTGATAAAATTCAAACTATGCAAAATATTACTTTCCGTACTATTACTAATATGTACATGTACGAAAAAATGACCATATTCACTAGGATATGATGATACTAACCATCAGAGAAGAAATTCAACAGTATGCCAGAGTACATGAAAATCGCCTGGAGGCCCACATTAACAAAGCGGTACCTCAACTTCTTGATCGATCTCAAGATGTCAGAAGATTAAAACGGGCTAAACCATATAACTTATTGTAAATATATATTGATTAATGTGAATTTTACTAGTATATAAGTTTGGATATTCTTCATTGGAAGTTTCCCTTCATCATTGTGTATAATATCTTAACTGTACATTTTATGTAATTTTAGATGTTATTATTAATGAATAATTTTAATTAAGACCGCAAGATTGTCTCAAATAAATAACACTTGCAATAAAAAAACCAATTTTATAAACATTTGGAATTTTTTTTATTATTATTAAATTATTAAATCAATATAAAAAATAAAAATTTTTCATTTAAAATAATTAATGAAATATCTGTTTACTGTAAATACAGTTATATTTTTCATCATTAAAAATAAATAATTAATAATATTATTTATTAATTATTTTTAGGTTTGTATGAAAAAACAACCAGCACAAATTCGTAGGATATTGGATAATTTGTATAAATTATCAAAGAATCAAAATACAACCCATTCAGAAGTTCATATGATTATGCTACCTTTATTAAAAAATAATCCTATTTTAGTAGATTGTTTTTTACAAATGATTCCAACAGAACATCCACCTGAAAGGTATTGAAATTATTTTTAAAATATAAAAGAAAGTAATTAAATTTTCTTTAGTCGCAGTTATGACCAATTTTTGGTTAAAATTATTAGTCATTTTAATTATTTTCAGACCTAAAATACTAATTTGTAAATAAATTTTTAGCTTATTTTCAGAGGATAGTTGGGAAGATTTAGATATTAATCAAAGTGTAGATTATGGTATTGATTATGAAGAAATAAATCCATCAAATTCAGAAGACCTTACTTATTTAAATTTATGTCATTGTAGCTGTCATAAAGATGGTGAATCTTCCCATTGTAGATCATGTGGTCTCAAAGTAAATTTCTTTTATTTTAAATAATATTTTTTAATATTTAATCAACAATAAACAGAATTAAATGTCAAATAATATAAATTTACTTTTTTTAAAAATATGTTAATTTTAAAGAAAAATTTAGTTTAATATAATCAAATGTTTTCTACATTCTTCTTTTAGTAGAAACTATTTATTATCCGTATTAAGTGTAATATGTTCACTAGGGTGGCCCTCAAAAATCGAATGTCTTTTTTTTTTTTACGCTACCCCTTAATTTTTTTTTAATGGTCAAAAAAATGAGCTGTGCAAAATTTGGGACCGATCCGTTAAGGTTAACCCGTGCCCCCGGGCCTATTAAGTTAAGTCGAAGAGTCAAATTTAATAGAAATAACTGATCTATGTCTCGTAACTTTTTTTTCTCTTAACTTAGAATTATAAAAGTAAAACTCAAGTAAAGGAAATTTTACAAGAAATTCAAAAATAATAACTTCAATGCTGTTTTCTCAATAAATAACCCACAAAAACACTACATACAGTAAAAAACACGTGAAAGTCTTAAAATACGTTATAACTGATTTTGTTGATTTTTAATTATTTATTTTCATTTTATTTTTTGGAAAACGCATTTTCGTTTAAAAAAAGAATCTAGAAGTTTAATTTTTTATGCCAAGTACTATAATTATATTAGATTTATTATTTTATGGACAGTTAATTAATGATTAATTACAAACTTAACAAGTAAAAAAAAAAAAAAATTGTTTAATTATAAGATTCATAAACAATAAGGATTATTTAGTGAAATATATATTTTTTATTAATTTATGTAATATTATGCAATATATGTAATATTAGGTGTGGTGTAGTGCGGTTGTCACACTAGTTGTTGACAAAACTCTAGGTTAAGTCACGCCTACCACCGTAGGTGAATGGATGGATGACCACGCCGTCTTAATAATTCACACCACCACGTTGCGAATCAGCCCGAAATTAATCAAGAGCTGATTCGCAATGTGGTGTGGCCCCCTCCCATTAACCTGATTCCAGAGTGGGAACCGTTAGGGAGGACTGCCAAAATAATTCACAAAACATAAAACATTACACAAAAAAAGAGAACCTAAAGCACTGGCCTAAACCAGCGCCTCAGGTCCTCCTGTGCCGGGCGGCGTGGCTGCCTCTGTCTCAGGCGTTCCGCTTCCTCCTTCTTTAATAAGACGGATTCGGCGAACGCCTGAACGAGCCTCCACGCCTCCCGACTCCTCAACATCAGACCCACCATGGACCCGACTCGGAACGTGGACCCTAGTCGAGACTCCAAAGAGTCCCGCTCCTGGGCCCACGCCTCACACCGGAAGAGGGTGTGCAGAGTGCTATCAGCCTCTCCCAGGCGATCCGAACAGTGGTCGCACGTCTACTGTTTACGAATACGGTGTAAATACTCGTTAAAGCAGCCGTGGCCGGACATCACTGGGGTGAAACGATAAGTCATCTCACCGTGAGTCCAGTCCAGCCGATCGGGTCCTGGTCCACTCGCCTCTCGTCGTTTCCTCCAAGAGGCGAGTCCGCCACCGGAGCATGGTCATCCGCCTGAGCGCAAGCCGGTCCTCGGGTTTGAGGGACCGGTTGCGTTCTCGGCGGAGCTCATGCCCAGCGGCGCGTTCCTCGGCGAGCAGGTCGGCGGGCGGCAGTGACGACAGGATACCCGCCGCCACTCCGGACACCGTTCGGTACGCCGAAATTGTCCGGATCGCCGCCCGCCTCTGCACCCTGAGCAGGGCTTCACGGTATTTGGACGAATACTTAAGAGTATCGGCCCAAACTGGGGACCCGTACAAGAGGACCGAGTGTACGACGCTGACTAAAAGTCTGCACCGCATTTTCCTTGGCCCTCCCAGATTGGGCATGAGTCCCGCCAGGCAATTCATGAGTTTCTGGGCCCGCTAAGCCGCACGAGTAATGTGCGGCCCGAACTTTAGACGTTTGTCTATGACACGGCCCAGATAAGTCATGGAGTCCTTAAGCGGAATCTCCACCCCCAGTACGGCGAGCCATGGAGGAGTGAACTTGTACCTGACCGCTTCGGTCTTGTCCAGGGCGAGGCTAAGTCCACTCCCCTCCTGCTAGATCCAGGCGGTGACTGCGCTGAGCGCGCAGTTTGCCCGGGATCCAGCCTCCTCGGCCGAGGCGCCTTCCGCTACCACCAGCGTGTCGTCCGCGTAGCAGACGACGCGCACGCCCGGCGGTAGCGGAACGCGGAACACCGCGTCGTACGCGATGTTCCACAGCAGAGGCCCGAGAACCGACCCTTGCGGGACGCCTCCCGTAACAGGTAGGATTCTNTATACAAACAGTTAAAGTTATTAAAATTGGATATATATTGTTTATTGGCAAGAACTATGACCTAACTTTAAAAAAAAACAGGCAAAATAAAATTCAGTATTCAATATTATTAAATAACTTTAATTAATAATTTTTTGTCAAAATTACTCTAAATCAGCTCAAATGATTTGATTTAATCTATAAAATATAATTTTTTATTAACTGCCTTAGAAACAATTTAAAAGTGATAAATTTGGCCTCTTGATCAAATAAATATTTTTGTTTCAAGGTTCATTATTATTGTATAAGAAAATACTTATTTTGTGTATGATATATTATATATTTTTTTAATATATAATCACAGTTGAAAATATCAAAATAAAAAATTTAATTTGCAAAAAAATTAAATTTATTTATTATAAATTAAATTATTGTGATAATTACACAATGTATTAATATTTAAAACTAGTATTATAACACATTATCAAACAGATAAAGTTATTTTAGTAAAACAAAACACATTTTGCAAAAAAGTTAAATTAGACTATTTGCAATAAATGATTCAATTTTCAATAGACCGGGGTATTTTAGAAGATAATTTTCTATTCATTATAACTAATTAAAGGCAAAAGAATATTAGAGAACATCTTGAAAATGAAATAAGTTTACTTAACTTTTTAATAATATAAACATTTCATTAAAATATGTTAAATAAGTATTTATTTTATTTAATTAATAATTATTTGTTTTTTAGTTCTTTAAGGGTCGAATATACTTTGACACACCTGAAGGCTTAAAACTAGCTTTAATAAAGTTTGAAGGAGATCAAAATGTTGTGCTAACTAAAATTGATAAACTAAAAGAAAGTGTAGCAGTAAAACAAAAAAACAGAAAATGTCACACAAAAAATAACTCCCCAGGTTCAGCGGAAGATGTCAAAGGCAGTACTGGCACAGGTTATTTTCATGAGCTCTATTACTTTAATAATAATAGAATACAGAGTGATGTTTATTAAGTAATGTTTTTAAATAAAAAATAAACCTCTCCACAAGTTTTTCATGTAAAATACTCTTGACAAAAAGGCATTTTCTGTTATTTGCATTATTATAGCCACTCCCTATTCAATAATTTGGTTTGTGTAATTGATTTTTGACCTTTTTTTAATAATTAATTTAATTTTTTTGAATTAGTAGTCGTTATAATTATTCTGTTCTCTTAATCCATTAGCCTTCCATTACACACATCTGGGTTATCCATAAAATTGTACTAATTAATTTTGAAAATGAATAATTAAAAAAAAAAATTCTTATCTTTCTGGATATTTTATTGTACTTATTACTTTAAATTTTTTTTATCATTGATTAAGAAAACTTGAGAAACCTATAACTGAAAGATAAAACTCTTTGTTTTGATATATATTTCTAAATTATTCCTTATGTCTAAAATGAAAAAAATTAATGTAAAGTGAATAATTGAATAGTATTAAACAATAACATATTTTTATATCTTTAAAACATATAATTGTTAACATTTTTATACAGAATCTGAAGAAGATCTAATTGATATTAAACCAAAGAAACGTCAAAAGTCAAAAGTTGTTCAGTCTTTAAAGTTAAAGTTTAAAAAAGAAGAAAGTCCAAAACATAAAGAGGAAGAAGAGCTGTGTATTGAAAATGGAAAATCTATTGTTCATGTCAATAATGAGGAGTTGAATAGCAGTGAAATGGTTTTCTTTTGTATACCAGATTCAGAAACTAAAGTAAAATTTACATCAATTAGTGAACAAGGATCAAATTTTGAAAAAAAAAAATATCTGGAATTGTTTGAAAATACTTGCAAAGATACTAATGAATCAGTAAAAGAAAAAAATGATATTGAACTTGAAAATTATTTATCAATAACATCTGATATTAAAATGAAAGAAGAAAATGTTTTTGTTTTAGATCCTAACATAGCAACTTATAATAATGTGAAAAAACAGATTAAAGAAGAAAGTAGTATTATCAATATTGATTATTCCGCTAAGTCAAATGATAATTATGATGTATCAATCAAGTGTGAATATACTCCCGAGATATATAATTCAATAATTTTAAATAGTGATAACCAAGAAAAATCCAATAATGAACATTCTACCAATTCAAATAACTTAAATATCAATAACATCAAATCTGAACACATTACTAAAATTTGTGGTTCTAATAACTTAGAATTAGATAAACCAAAGAAAGATTTAGAAAATCAATTAATAAGCAAATGGACGATTGATGAAGATAAAATAATCTTACAAACTTGTAAACGAGTTGAAGATATAGAAGTATTACTTGAAACTATTAATAGACGAATACCTCAAAGATCTGTAAATGAGGTAAGATTTTATTCTTTTAAAATTGATTTTGTTAATAATTCTTATTTTTTTAACAGATACAAGAAAGATTTACAACTCTCATGACATTGTTGGAACAAATGATAGATGTAAAACAAACTTGAATTATTTATTATATTTTACTATACAAGTTCAACAAGCATAACTAATGTTTTTAATTATTATGTTTAAAATAAAATGTATATTTTTGTTTTAATCTTCATATCCTGGAGGTCTTGGTATTCTTTTATTGGTGTAATCTTCCAAATTCACAGTGTCCATCAATTTTTTATATTCAGTTTCTATTGTAACACTACCTCGAGGTTTCATTTCAATACCTTGTTTTTTTAATTCTTCTGGACTAATTAATTTTACTTTTCTGTAATCATATCGAACTTGAGAGAATTCTTTTAATCCGAATGATCCTCCTACAACTAGAAGTATAAAAGGTGCACCATATTTAAAAAATTTATTCTTCAAAATTACATTAATAGATCTAAACACATTAGTCATTTAGTTAAAATTTTATAACTGTAATGATATTACTCAGTATGAAATAATTTGAATCAAAAATGATAACTTAAACGGAAATATACATGATTCAATAATCACGATTACTTGCTAATTGCCTTTTTTCTTTTTCATAGATAAAAAAGAAATTGTAAGGTTGGTTGTTCCTATTTCTTCCACAAAATGGATAAGATCTTATCTATTCTGCGGTTAAATGATAATAACAATTCTACAATTTTTTCTACAGTGGTCTTATTAATTCTTGTAAATAAAATTTATAAGATTAAATGGATTTATCATTATTTTGTTACTCAATATTATAATTTACTAATTTATTTAAAAGTTTAAACTATATTTGCACTACGAAATTTATCAAATTATTTATTCAAAGAGTGAATATTATTATGTTATGTTTTTATCATATGCATAGTGTTCACATGAATAGTTTATAAATAAAGTAATAGGTATATGAGTTTCATCAATATAAATGAAGAATCAGTAATGTATATGTTGAAACGAAAATAATCGTAAAAATGGGAGGTTTGCCTGAAGAATTTTTCAAATCATTTCGTTCTCACACTATTTATCCAACCGTAAATGACATTGATTTTGTGAATTCACTTCCATATAATCTTGATAAAGGTCCATATAAATCTGAAGAACACTATTTAGATACTCAATTTAAATTATTGCGTGAAGATTTTATTTATCCATTAAGAAAAGCAGTCCAATATTATCGTAAAAATAAAAATGCAGATGGTACTCACTTAGTAGTGAATAATGTTCATTTTGATGGATCTAGAGAATTTGTTGGTAATAAACTAGGTTTAATTTTTAAGTTTGATCCAACTCATTTTAATGTAAATTTATTTATTAATGGCTTCCTATTACTGTTTTCTAAGGATGACTTTAATACTTTTTATACTGGACTTGTTTTAAAAGATGATAAAGATAATCTTAATTCTGGTATTTTACATGTTGAGATGCTTAGCGAATTAGATATTATTCCTAACACAACCTTCTTAATGGCTCAGTATGAACAGTTTTATGTACCTTATAATTGGACTCTTAAAGGAATTCAACAAATGAATACTCAACAGTTTCCAATGAAAGAATACATTGTAGAAGCCAAAAACATACCTAGTACACCCAAATACTTAAGAGATTCAAATTTTCAAATTTATGATCTTGATGATTATAGATTTAATATTTTGAAGGATGAAGAATGGCCATCAGAAGTGTATTTACAGCAGGAAAGTACTCAGTTCAATGCTTTTAAAGCAGCTTTAACTGAAGAATGTGTATTGATTCAAGGTGCATCAGGAACAGGTAAAACTTTTATAGGCCAGAGAATTGTTAAAACTTTAATTGAAAATTTGTATGTTAATAGTCGTTTAAAAAACCCTATAGCAATTATTTGTAATAATAATCTTACCTTAGATCATTTTTTAAAAGGAATACTTAAGTTATCAGATAAACTTATTAGAATTGGTAGTCAATCAAAGCATAATATTTTAAAAAAACATAGCTTAAAAGAAATAGTAAAACTTCATAATTTAAAAATTGACAACGAATTAGAATCCTGTATTAAATCTAAAGAAGAAGACATTTTAAAGTATTATAAAAAATGTGATCAGTTGTATGAAGGTATTTTAGATTGGAATATTTTAAAACAAGTAATACCAGAAGTATCAAGTACAACATTTACAGATTCATGGGATTTTTTGAATTGGCTATTTCATCCTTTTTCTGTCGATAAAATAATGAAAAAAAATTCATTTAATTACCAATATGATCAACATTGCTTAAAACCTAATGATATAAAGCAATGCTTGCTAGAATTAACTGAAGAAGTGACCAATGGTAGTGAGTATCATTCACTAAAAATAACACAGCATATATCAATTTTAAAGAAGTTCCTTGATAATTTTGAAGCTATGTTGACATTTAATTATCTTCATCTTCAAAATGACCAAATATATGTTGATGATTTACATTTAGTGCCAGCTAATCAAAGGTGGACTTTATATTATCATTGGATACAAAGAATTGTAAAAACATATAAAAATATGATAAACAAAATTTGGATTGAATACATTGAATTGTATAAAAGACTTGACAAAAATAGGCTAACTCAGACTATGGATATATTTGAAGGGATATATGTAATAGGCCTGACTACAACTGGAGCTGTAAAAAACAAAGATTTATTAGAATATTTAAAACCACCTATTGGTAAGTTCACTTTAAAGTTCGTTTGTGTACACATAGTCTCATTATAATTTCTGTTAAAAATTTTCTTGTCCCTTGAAAGGCAAATTTTAAATTTGATAGGATGGACATTTTACTGAAAGTTTATCTGATATGCTCACTTAAACTCCTAAAAATGTTTGGATATGTGTATATCATACTTATAACCTTATAACAATTAGATGACGTATATAATATACATTTTTAATTTATATATGAGATCAAAAAGAGTATGTGTATAACAGGAACAATGTAGATTTCTAATCTCACCAATGAATTCAATAGTTAATTTGAAACTTCTTTTTCTATCATAAGATATTGATAAGTAAGTTAAATGTTTTATAGTTGTTGATATACATCCTCCTACTAAAAGACTAAAACGTCTGTGCTTCTTATTAATAAATTCTGTTATATCATAATTTTCTCAAAAATCTGAAGAGAAATATTATGGTATCATGAATTAGAGTACCTTAAATAAATTATTCATATTTTAAAACTTATTTTATGTTATTTATTTACATTCAAATTTATTATAGTTAGATTTTAATTTTAGATTTATTAAATTTTACACTGAAACAGAATTTACAGTGAGACTGTGTACATTACTATTTAAAATAAAGTAAACATTTGTAGAATTAAAGTCTTAAATAATCTTGCAGTTGAGGCATATACATTATAAATAATAGTAATAAAAACTATTGGAATCTTTTAGTAACTTATGTAGTACTTATTTATTAATCAATTTAATAAATAATTTAATTACACTACATTACAAAAAATTGAATTTTCCCCACTAAACAATAAAATAATAAATTTTGAATGAAATTTCATTGCTGATTCAAAATCTAAAATTATTAAATTGATTGTAGTTTTTAAGACAATCACTATTTAGTAAAAATTAGGTAATAATTTTCAAAAACCTCATTTAAGACTTAAATGGGCTATATGTAAGAAGTACTTGTAATATATATATCTCAAGTTTAAGCCACTACATATGATGTCAAAGTTGATTTTGACAGTCATTTTACAATAATTATAACTTATCTAGTCCCTATAACTTAAATTTATAATTACATATTTTCACTAGTTAGCAATTATCTCAAAAACTAGAATCAATCTGAAAATTCTAGATTTAGGAGACTAGATTCCGAATCATTGATGAAATTATGTTCAAAATCTACTATCATATTAGTACAAAATAGTGTTGTGCAGTATTATCTATGATAATTATTTTATCATGATGATCATTTCTGATGAATAATTATGTAATTGTTTTACGCTTAAAGAATTAATTATAGACTAATAAAATGTTTAGTTATTATGGAAGAAGGAGCTGAAACCTTAGAACCTTTTATTGTTGCTGCTTTAACGGAACATGTACAACATTTGATTATAATTGGTAAAATACTTTTTGATTTTTATTATATTTATATAAAAATATTTTCACACTTCATATATTCCTATGCACACAATGAACTTATAGATCTCAGCGCATGGGAAATTCTATAACAACTAAACTTATATATTCCTAATTTTTTTTTTATGTAGGTGATTTAAAACCTGAAAGGCCAAAACTATCATCTTACAGTTTAGCCAAAGGTTATAATTTTAATCAAACATTGATAGATAGATTAATTAATAATGGTATGCCTTTATATCAACTAACTAAACAATTCAGAATGCGACCAGAAATTCTATCAATTGTTTTACCATGTTTTAATCAAAAATTAAAAAACAGTGAACTAACTAAAAATTTACCAAGTGTTAATGGAATTTCTAAAAATGTTTTTTTTCTTGATCACAATTGCATTAAGGTAATATTTATATATATATATATATTTAATTATTCAATATTTTCTTTATAAAATTTTATTTAATTGTAATTATATACATACTTTAATATAAACATATATAAACAGTATGTGTTTAGCGTTGATAATGGTAACATTGTTTCCGAAATACGTATCCGCGACTTTTCATTAATTTTTTTGTGGCTTTTGAGTTTAATATTTTTAATATTTTTTAGTTTTTTTTAAATTAATAATATTTTTAATATAGTTTTAATTTTACTTAATTTTAGATGTAGTTTAACTTTTTAGAAAATGATGTCATTTTGTTGAATTTTTTTAATATTTAAAAATAATCTGTTGATATTTATAAGATATTAAAAAAAATTAATTATTATCTGAATTAATAATTAATTTTAAATCTTATAAAGGCTTACAAATTAGATGGTAGTGTTAGTTTTCAGGTAATGTAAAAATTCAATAAAATAACATTTATACATTTTCCTATAACAGAAGATTTATAATTAACATTTGACACCTGAACAAATGCTACTTGTTATAGATGATATTTTCTATCTGCTAATTGTATATTGAAACGATTTTTATTAGGTAAAGATTAATATATTAGATTAGTTTTTTAAAAGTTACTTTATTGAGATAGGAATTACTGGACTTTTGAATCAAGGATATTTTTTATATTGTTTACGAGTAGAGTTTAATGTATAAGTTAGTAATAAAATATCAAATTTATTAACTTACTCAAAAGTTATATGTATCATATTATAGTAGAAATATAGGGTCCATTTCAAAAGTATCCGAACTTTCCCCACATCTTTGAGTGGAGCGGTCTCTGGCGAGCGAAAAGGGATCAGGGTGATAGTAGGCACTTCCATTTTCTAACCCAGACTCCACTCAGTCTGTTGCGAGCAGAAGTTCGGTGTGCCAAGTCGGCTCCATGTGGATCTGATGTTGAGGAGCCAGAAGGCGTAGAGACTCCTCCAGGCTTTTGCTGAATTTGTCTTGAAAAAGAAGGAGGAAGCAGAACGCATATGATAGAGGCAGTAATGCCGCTCGGTACAAGAGGATCCGAGGCGCTGATTTAGGCCGGCACCTTAGAAATTTGTTTTAAGTTATTTATTTGTTTATGAGTTATTTTGCCAACCCTCTGCCAAAGTCCTGCCCCCATCCCCATGTGGTGCAACCCAGCTAACGGATTCCACTCTGGAATTTGGTTAACGGGGGAGGCCACACAGCTGTTAATCAGTTCTTGATTAATTTCGGTCTAATTCATAATATGGTGGTGTGAGTTTTTTTTTGTGATTTTGGCCGCCCTGAAGTATTGCCTAAGGCAGTTCTAGGGCGGGAAGCAAAATGTCGACCGTAGCAAAAAAAAGGTTTGTAGATGGAAGTGCCCTCTATTACCCTGAACCCATTCTGCCCGCTGGAATGCGCTCCACTCGATTTTGTAGGGGGAGTTCGGATACTTTAAGAATGGATCTAGTATATCATTTATATTGCACTTCCTGAAAAAAAATCATACTATGTTAACAAAAAATGTATCTTTTATCTTACAAATTTTTATATTTTTAAAATATTATTAATTACTGCACTATAAATATTATTCATATACCTACATCATTATGAGCCACTTTAATCGCCCAATATCTACTAACAACAAAACGCCAAAATCACCTAATAATAAACATCTAACAAATAAAACCATACCACCGTTAATTCTCTCCAAATCATTAATAGACCAAACGGGCGCCAACAGCCCTTCGGATTTCTCTGACAACGATTCTGACTGGCAACCAGTCACATCAAACTCGAAACAGTCAAAACGTCCAAGATCGCCAAATAGCACTTCTCCCACCACAAAAAAACCAGACACTAATATTTTCATCACAGCAAATCGTTTTTCACCGATTGCTCCTCTTAATGAACCTCAACCAATGGAAACTACAGTTACAAATCCAATTATCCCTGAAAATAAAACTTCAAAACCCCCTCCTATATTTATTCAAGAACAAATAAACTATAATAATTTTTGTCAAAAAATTAAACAATTAACTGATGAATCTGGATTCGATTGCAAAAGCTCCACCAAAGGTATTAAACTCCAAACATACAGCTCTGACTCCTATCGATCAGTAGTCACTTACCTCAAGAATAATAACGTTTCATTTCACTCATTCCAACTAAAAGAGGAAAAAGCATATCGTGTTGTAATCAGAAATTTGCATCATTCAATCGATACTTCTTTTATTCAACAAGAACTATTAAATAATGGATTTATCACTCGAAACATAATGCCTGTAACTAACAAGACTACCAATTCCCCCCTCCCGATCTTCTTTATTGATTTAGAACCGAATCCAACAAACTCCGATATATTCAAACTTACTACATTATGTTATACTAAAATCAAAGTTGAAACACCCCGCCCTAAAAAAGAAATTCCGCAATGTCACCGTTGCCAGAATTATGGCCACACTCGCAGTTATTGTCATCATCCACCTCGTTGTGTCCGATGCGGCGAGCAACACGAGACAACAGCATGCTCCAAAGAACGCAGCTCTCCGGCTAAATGTGCATTATGCAGTGGTAATCACCCGGCCAACTTTAGAGGCTGCCAATCCCACCTGGATCTTAAAAAAAAATTATTAGAGAACTCTTCAAAAAAAATCTCAAATAAAAGTTCCCTTCCACGTCAACCTACATTTGAAACTACGCACCAAGCTTATTCACAACATTTCCCTCCATTAAATCAAGATTCTTCTTCTCATACTCAAGACACCAACACCAATCAAAACCAATACCAAAATATGTCTGTTCAACTCTCATCATTTATCAATGAATTTAAAGCATTAATAAATCCTCTTATTTCACTTCTTACAACAGTCATTGATAAACTTATAAATAATGCCAACAAATAACTTTCAACAACTCTCAATATTTCTATGGAACGCTAACGGCATCCTACTACATTTAAATGAATTACAATTAGTTTTAAATGAAAAAAAAGTTCAAATAGCACTTATTTCCGAAACTCACCTTACTAAAACCTCTTCACTTAAGATATTTGGTTACGATATAATTAGAGCAGACCACCCTGATGGTACTGCACATGGAGGTGCTGCTCTCCTCATTTCTAATAAAATTGACCATCTCCCCCTTCAACCATATCTGTCTACAAATATTCAAGCAGCAAGCATATCAATAAAAATAAACTCTCAAACTATCTCCATCTCTTCATGCTATTTTCCCCCAGGAAGACCTTTTCCTTCGGCTGAACTGAGTATTCTCTCTCAAACTTTAAGCTTCACGCATATTATCGGCGCTGACTTCAATGCTAAACACCAAACCTGGAGCCGCTACACCAACACCAGGGGCCGAGCTCTTCAACACTTCATCTTGCACAATCATCTCAAGGTAATAGCACCTCTCTCTCCGACGTACTGGCCATCACACAACAACCGCCACCCAGACAACCTCGACTTTTTTATCACCAATCTTCCTAATCATTTTTCCACCGAAATTATAAATTTAATAGATCCAGCCTCTGATCATACACCTGTCTTGCTGCTCATCGGAGCTCAACCCTCGTTGAAGANAATATGATTTTAGTAATAATACAAATTTACATGAGGCTAATTTTTTGATTAGCCTTGCAAGATATCTTCGTCTTCAAAACTATAAATCGGAAGACATTTTAATTTTGACATCTCATAAAAATCAAGTTTTACTAATGAATAAGGTAAGATATTTTATAAAATGTATAAAAGAAAATTATTCCTTTAGGTATAGTGAACTTTTTTATTTATTTTTCAGCTAAAAGAAGAATCTTCACTCGTATCTGATATTAATGTGTCTTTAGTTGACAACTGTGCAATTAATGAATGTGAAATTGTATTATTATCAACAATATATAACAAACAAGATTCTTGTTATTGGAAACATGAAAATAGAATATACTCTTCTCTTACTAGAGCTAAAATTGGATTGTACATTATAGGAAATATTAACAATCTTATTACCCAAAATGATCTTTGGAGTTCAATTTATAGTTCTTTGAAAAATCAAAACAGTTATGGTAAATTTAATTTGTTTCTTTATTTGAATAAACTTTATTATTATAACTTTATAATAAAACTTATTTATTTAAACTTTTTTGAACTATGTCTTCACTTAAATTCTGAGCTTAGAGGATATAGAATCTATACCCTCCAAGCTATACTTTAGATAATGAGGTATTTTTGGAGTTGAATCTATTCCCAAAATTCCAATTGGTAAACAAATAATGGGGAGATTAATAAAATCACACGTTCTTTTTAATAAAAATGTATACTTATACATTAAGCAAATATGTTATTTTTTTGAATATTGACTGGAAAATCATGGAAAAGTCAGAAAATTTAAATTTGTAACAATTATGTTTTTTTTTGTAGGAAGTGATTTAACTTTAGAATGTTCAATACATTATGGTACATTCTCAAAAGTTACTACTCATGAAGATTTTGTAACAAATAAATGTAAAAAGCCTTGTCTTCATCAACTAAAATGCAAACATTACTGTTTAAGTAGCTGTCATGTTCGCGATCGTGATCATAGTTATATTTTCAAGTGCAAAAATATTAATTGCAGGTTTGTATCTTAACTTATAAAATAAAAATAATTCACAACTTATTATAACATATAATATACTATAATCCTATAATCCTATATATAAGTAAAAGTGTTACAATTTTTTTATGCAGTTAACTATTTACTTATTATAAAATAACATGATGTTTAAAAAGCTATGTGTTAAATGAATTCTTGGGATTTATCATATGTATATATATAAGATCACATTCTTAGTTACATCCTTCTATTTCCTGAACTTAACATGCTACAGAAATTAATGGCTCTATTTCATATGTTAGGGAGTTAAAGATTATTCTGGGCTAAGCAAATGGACAGGATAGGTATTACACCAAAGACCAGACACCACCAATGAGAAAATCACAAGAAAAATCTCGTTGGCACCTTTTGGGATCAAACCCTGAACCCTGTGCGCCAAAACATACGTTTCTACCCAATAGGCCAGACTGACCCCTTTATCATATATATATATATATATATGTGTGTGTGTGGGAAATACAACAGGCAACCACAGAAATAAAGCAAAGACGCAATACTATTATTTAATGCATATATATTTATTCACACACAAAAGCCCTGTTAAATACTCACAAACAAAAATAACATTTATAAAACAAAATACACATGAATTAAAATGTACACAAAAAAACACGTCTTAGCCGACTCACAACTGACTCATGACTTAATTTAATTTTCCCTTTTTATAATACTTAATGATACCACTATCTGCTTCCGGACCCTGGAAGTGGAGCCATCTAGACACCAATGGTACCCACATATATATATTACTGTAAAAAATCTTTTTAAAATTGTTTTTTAGGTTTAAAATATTTTACTAGCCCACTATAATTTAAATACAATTTTATTTCACATCATCACCATAGCCTCTACCACAACTATTTGGGGTGGGTCGGCTCTGTCTTAACAATTTGATCGAATTTTACATGGGCTATTGACCTTGATGCAACCTTATTATGGCTGAGGTAACCAATATGGGGCAAGGTGTGTGTAACTGTTTAAGTTATTGTATGGTTATTTATACATATATTTAATTTATAATATATAATATTTATTCTATTATTATATGTTAAATATTTCCATAAATAATTAAAATTGTCATTTAGAAATCATATAAAAATTTGAAAAGGGGAATAACATGTATCATTGGGATGATTCTAATCTATTACAGCTGGTCCCTGAATGTTTCTCCTTTTAAGTTTTTTTTAAGAATTAAAATATTAAAAATTTTTTTTTTCTTTTCAGAACTTCCAAATCACTTATACGATATCCCTTGAGAGATATTCTGTTATTATTATGGGAATATAGTAAGAATATTATTTATGAAATCATCAGTCAACCAATTTGAAATCATTAGTTTTGTTTGACGGCTTAGAATTTGAACATTTATAACAAGGATTTATTTATTTTAATCTAGTCAAAGTCGATTATTATTTATTTTATTTATCTTGTATTAACTAGTCATATAATATTTTCAGTATTAAAATTAAATACAAATCCATATCCAAAAGTAATTATTCAATAATTTAGTTTTGATGCATAGCTTAGAAGCTATTGGTTTTAATAATAGTAATACGGAAACCACTCCATATACAATTTATATATAAATATGATTACAGTTGAGAACACGTAACAATTAAATCACAAATTAATATATATATATATATATATATATTATAGATTATAAATTTATAAATTTTATGATTATTTAATATATAAAGATTTAAATTTATTAATATTACTACAAACGAAAAATTCCGCACCAGCCATATTACCCGCTAACATTTAAACAATAATGGGAGAAGATTATAATATTTTTTACGTAAATTAAATCTTTATTTCAAGTGCTAATTTTAGGTATTTTAAATTGTAAACGCTCAAGAAGGAATGAGCAATCAATGTTACCATTAATAAGTTTATATAAAAACACTAAATTTTGACTGTTTCTTCTCAAACCTAAAGTATTAATATTAAAAACCCCTAAAACTCCATCGTAACTAGAATAGGTATCCTTTCAGCCTTACATTTAAATAATAAATATCTTAGAAAATTATTTTGTGTTGAATCTAAGTCATGAATTTGAGTAAAATAATTATTAAACCAAACAAGTGAAGCGTATTCAAGGCGAGATCTTACTAATGAAAAATAAACTGCCTTAAGGACATCTGCGCAAAAGAATTCGTGGCAACTTCTTTTTATGAAATATAAATTAGATGTAGCCTTTATTTTTATCTCATTAATGTGTGCATTAAAAGTTAATTTCGTATCAAATGTAACTCCCAGATCTTTTACATTATCTACTCTTTGAAGAAGATGATTGTTTAAAAAGTATTCATGCAGTATGGGTTTTTTTAGTGTAAAGGATAAGATAGAGCATTTATTTGTATTGAGAGTCATACCATTATCATTACACCACAAAGCGAAATTATGAATATCAGTTTGAAAGCAAATAGCATCGGAAATAGTATTAATGGGCATAAATAGTTTCGCATCATCTGCTAAGAGTAGTATTTTTGAGTATTTCAATACATTTACAATGTCATTTATAAATATAAGAAACAAGAGAGGTGATAAATGATAACTAAAGATAGTAATAAAAAAAATGTTTTAAATTATTATTATTCTGTAAGTAATTGAGTGGGTTATGATAAAAAAATCACCTGTATAATTCAATAACGTAATATAAAATTGAGTAGAAGTTGGAAAAATGTATGTTAATATCATGATTTAATAACAATTTCCAGTTAAGAGAGTGTAAATAATTCAAAATAGGATAATTGTTACCTTTTTCCATAAATAAATGGGTTCTTTAAAATTCAAGTAATGCAATTGATTACAGGTGTAGTAAATATTTATCGGTGGATGAAGTTTATCGATTATTGCTATTGGGTTTACGTTTTTTTCGATTGCAATGTTTTGATAATTTGAAATTACTTTATCTTAAGTAATACCATTAAATATTGTTAAATTGTAGTAGGTTTAAGATAAAAATTAGTTCATTAAAAAAATTTTCAGAATCACAAAACGTGGCAGAAGGTAGATAATAATCTCCTAATAATATTATATTGCAATTAGTGTTTTCTAAAAGTAAATTTTAGTAGAAAAGTGGTTTAAAAAAATTGCTTATTAGAACGTACAGGCATATATACCGCACCAATAATAATACATTCTTTACCTAAATTTATTAAAACAAAAACTTATTCTAAATTATTAATAGAAGTACAAAGTATCCTAGAAAATAGTGTTTATTAACAGCTATTAGAACTCCTCCACCTCGTATAAAGGCACTGGTGTTAGTGTTTCTGTCAGCTCTGTAGACATTATTTTGTTAGAAACCTATTTCTGAGGAATTAGTGGCACTTGAAAGCTAAGTTTCAGTTAGAATGTAGACATCGAAATTTGAGGACGGTATTTGTGAATTTAATAATGATAATTTGTTGTTTACACTGCGTATATTTTGGTAATAGATGTTGAGAGACAATGGAGTTGATTTTATGCGTTTTTGTCGAAGAAACTATTTTTGGTTCATTTTTTTTATACTTGATTATATTACTTTCTCCATTCTCTCTACGTTGACTGAGCTCTTTTCTTAAGTTTAACATTTGTTCTCTTTGAAAAGCAGTTCGATCGGACGAAAATTTTAATTCTTTAAATTTTGGGTGTAATTTTAACTTCGATTGAGAACGAAGTAAAGTAAAAATTCCGGGGTTTGGGAGAGTTTATTTTAGTGGACGGCATTTATCTGATGGTCTTTCCAAACGTGAATAGTTTACTGGAAGTACGTTTAAGCCCATTGTGTTCATAATTTCATTAATTATGTTACTGCCTTCAGTTTTAAATTCTGATTTTTCAGGAAGATTAAATAAGATTACGTTATGAGATCTAGAATTTCTATCTATAAACTCGAATATAATTTTATTTACGAGATAAGATTCGTTATTTTCAAGCGTTTCAACTTTATTTTTTAAGGTAGCTAGTTCACTTTTTAAACATTCATTTTCTTTTGTCAGAGTAGAAACACGTTCTAAAAGCTCATCAACTTTTTTCTCAAACCGAGAAAATTTTTCATTGTTTGAAGCTATTAATTTGTTTTGGGATGATTTTATATAATTATTAGAGGCGATAAGAGTGTCCAGTTTATCTTCCATACCTAAAACGGATTGGAATGTAGAATATAAAATTAAAGATAATGTACGGTATGATATTATAATGTAGACAATTGTTCATAAGCTATTGACAGTGTAACATTACAATAGCGAATAATGATTGTAACGTACCTTTTTAACACGCTTATATTAGTTTCACCTGTATGTATGTATGTTTGTATGTTTGTAACTCTCCAAACGCCACGCGTTATCGCATATTCTGTCGTCTAGACCAGAGTTTCTCAAAGTGTGGTCCGCGGACCCCCAGGGGTCCGCGAGCACATATCAGGGTTAGGTCTTTAGATGGGGGTCCGTGATTTATTTGACTTTGAGAACCTCTGGTCTAGACTAGACTGTCATAACGCATTCTCCCCACCCCACGCCTCGCTCATCACACGACGGCAATACTATTCCTGTATAAATTTATTTTTGGTTATCGTACCCGTACACACGTGCGTGTCATCAATATTATATATATATAAACAAATTTTTATTTTGACTGACCATTATCATCCGCGTGTCATACGGCTTACGTATATATTCCTACCGCCGTTTATACCTCAGGTTTAAGATTAGTCTGACCCGTCCGCCCACAAAACACGGCTATACCTAATGCATGATACGTTTACGTACTTAAGTCGCTTTACATGTATATATATATATTCTAATTACTATTAAAAATATATATTAACACACTTTATTCTTATTTAAAAATATAGAACTCATTCATTCCGATTACAAAGGATGAATTCAGTATCGTCATTTTTCGTCACTACCTCCATGTTCCGGGAGTGGGTAATTTACGCGCCTGCTGCTTTCCTTGGATGTGGTAACCGTTTCTCAGACACCCTCCTTGGAATCGAACCCTGATTTCCCGTTACCCGTTACAACCATGATATTGATAGTAACTACTATCATAACATGAAATTAAAAAGTAAAAAATAAATATAGTATAAAAAAACTAAAAAAAACACGCTTTTAAAGCACATCGAACTAAAAAATTAAAAATAATTATTTTAAACTTATTTTAAAAATTATTTTTAACTTTTTAGTTCGATGTGCTTTAAAAGCGTGTTTTTTTTAGTTTTTTTAAACTATATTTATTTAATAATAATTACAATGAAATTGTTACAAAATTAGACATCACATATTTTTAACAATGTACTCCATTATTTTTCACAAGTGTTATTCTTTGATATTTTATTTATCAGTAGTTAAATATTATATAATATTAAATAATTGTTATTCCCCTAAAATATATACTTATCACTTGTAAACTAACATTTAATACATTTTTCTTTATTATTAATGAAGTAACAAAGATGTCTAGTCCATTTAATTTATTTTATGTTATAACTTGTGTATCATCACTACTATTAGTTAGTAAAAATATTTTATTAATTAATTTTAAAATTATATCTAGTCTAGATTTTAATGTGGAAATCTTTATCGCTTCTCAACACACAAAATAAATTGTCTTTTATCGTGTACACAGATTTTTTCTAATATTTAAAATAGAAGTGAAAAATTATTGGCTTAAGTATAGACGAATAATAATAGTGTAGTGTTAATAATAATAATAATAATAATAGCTAGTTTAATTACGAATCCTATCATCAGTGACACGTACCCCTATATTTTTTAACTAAACTAATTAAATGTTATAATAATAGGCACTAATAAGGAAAGGCAAAAAAGATTTTACGTCCGAAAATTGGAATCGCTTTTCTTTCCCCTCCAAAAAAAAAAAATTTAAGGGCTCACACAAGTTATATAACTGGGGTTGTTCTATTTCAAAGCCCCTTTCCTTACCTTTATGAACCTATTTTATCAAAAGTCGGCTATATTTCGAGGACCTTTATTGTAATAATTATTCGTTAATATACAGTAATCAATTATAACGCTATTTTATTATATTAATTAGTGATAAGGGTTATATTTTTCCATTAGATAATATATTGCTACGATACTCATCTAATCCGAAATTTCATAATTTTTTAATCGATTTCGAGAACAATCGATATTCGGAGCTAATTTCATTCGGAGCAATCAATTAATAGTCCTATTCGAAGTATTCATCGTCGTAGTAAAATCCAAATTTTTGTAACCTGGTATTCGTAGTAATTGTTATCGCAGTAAATGTATTCGGAGGATTTTTTTACAGTGTCGGAGTATATGAATGTCGAAGCATTATCAGTTTGTGGCAATCTCCGTAACCCCAATTAAATACTCTCAATTTACTATCCATGTTTATAAGATCTATGATTCTGTGATACAGTTATCATTTCAATGATAACACATTATAAAAATTTAATGATAACAATGTTAATCATCAACATTCAACAACTTTTAAGTGCGAATTATTATGATTAAATAAAAACATTTTTGGCAAAAATAATTACTTAAAAATTTTTCTACTTTTAACTTATGGTAAGTTTGAATTCTCTAGATATAGATGTTTAGTTATTTATATAATTTACTACATACCTATAATAATTTATACTTTAAATATTATACTGAAATTTAACTTTATTTTTGATAAATTTGCATAAATTAGTAGAATTTTATTAAAAAATTTGTTTTCAGATTCAGATAGTGTAAAGAAATAATCATTAATATGATACGATGCTCAATTTTTGGAAAAACATCCAATCTAAGAAGAATTCATCTATTTTACCTAACAACAATAGTAATATTCCACTTTGTATTTCAGAAAATGGGACATTACCTTTAAAAAATTATGTGTTTGAGGAATATGGTAATTTTATATGAATAATAATATTTTATTATAAGTTTTTATTATTAACTTTATATTTTATATATATTAACTTTTATATTTTTAACTATAGAACTTTTTCCACTTGAAAAGTGTAGATTATCATTAAGATTTTCTGAAGCATTAGAATCGGACAATACATCCATTTTGTCTTTATTTAAGCAATTCCTAGATCATAAGAATTTATTATCACTTTACCAATTATACATGGAGTTATACCGTCATTCTAAAATAAATGATGAGCTTTTACATCAAAATACTATAAAAATCATCACACACCATCAAATTGATATACCTGATTCGATAACAAATAAATTAAATTTGAAAGGCCAAAATTTGGATTGTGATGACTCCAAAATAGTAATAGACAAAATTAATGTAATATTAGAAGAGTAAGTAAAAAACTTGTTTAAGTATACTTTTTATCAAGCTATAATAGTTAAAATTTTTTAAGGTATTGGAATAGTTTTGTTCAGACTGATATGTTTTGCAAGTACCAAGTAGATATTTTAACTAGTGGAAAAGTCACATTGGGAGACATTTTACTATCAGATGGACTTCTATCTTATTTTATGGAGGTAGTGCATACTTTAAAAATTCTTTTAGGGATTACCTTTAGTTATCAATCAACTTTTCATTCCTTTTGTTCATTATGAGAGAAAATATGAATTATTTCAAGAAGTAGATATAGTAATATACCAATTTTACAATAACTTGAAACTTCTAAAAAAATTGTTTTAAAAACATGTCTTTGTAAACTTCTAACCAGCTATTACATTGGATTTTCACTTCTATAAAGTCAAAACTTTTTTCGTAGAAAAAGATTCATTTTTTTTTAATTTTTGGATACAAGTTTATCTAGCTTCAAATACATACTATTTATATAATGTATCTATAATTTATCTACTTAATATTTATAAATAGTTTGCCTTTGAGTAATACTCAGAATTAAAATAAAGTTTCCACAAAATACAATAACAACAATTATTAACCAATACAAAAATTTTATTAAAAATATTGTATAATTATTCTAAAAATAAAATAAATACAATTTACTTAGATAAATTTTCATTATTAGTTTCATGTGATCATTTATAAATTGTAAGTGGTGTTTGATTAACTATGCCTTGTTTAATATTTTCTATAGTACAAAATAAACTCTAATTTTTTATTTAAAAATGTTTATATTATCTTAATTTCTATTTAAAAAAAAAGGTGAATACATCTCTCTTTGTTATTTCTCTATTTGACATTTTTAATGGTAACATGGAATTTTAAATAATTTACAAAATATAAAATTGTATAATTAAGGAGAAACTGATGTATTATTATGTTTATGGTTAAAAATTTCTCGGTACTCTTTCTATTTAGATTTTAAAAAGTCATAATCTATCTAAATAAAGTAAAAAGTTGTTAGTTTTAAAATTCAATAAATTTCAAGGGATAAAAATGTATGATTTATTTAAAACATGTTAAGAAGTGATTGTAGTTTTTAGATGGAGAAGGGTGCAGATCTTTAGTAGAATTTTGGTTAGCTACTTGTAATTTTGAGCGATGTGTTATCCAGTTTAAAAATGAATCATTTGATTACGAGCTAGCTCAAAATGATGCAATTTATATTTATGAAAAGTAATTTACTTTTAGCTTTTAATAATTGCTTCAAAATTTATTTTCTTATATTATTTTTAGATATCTATCCCTTCAGGCTACATGTGCACTTGGATTTTCAGATGAAGTGAGAATTTCTGTTGAAGAATCTATGTGTCCAGTAGACATATCTAGCCAATCAGCTTCTATGTTAGGTCAATGTTTTAACTCTGCGGTTTTGATTGTCTTATCGTTTTTGCGCCACAAATGCTTAAATCCATTCTTATCATCTCAACATTACGTACGCTATTTATCAGAGTTGATAAAATCAGGCAACTTTTATCAATCAAGTTCGCAAGATAATGATTCTTCAAGTTCGTCAATATCTGAATACAGTGTTAATTCAAAACGTTCAATGTCTTCTTTTTTACCATATTCAGCTAGTACAGATTCTTTGTGGCGTAAAAGACAACAAAGGTTTGAGCATTTTTTCTAATTATATTTTTAATTTTAAAAATAATTTATTATTTAGTGGACTCAGTTTTGGAAGGGTTGACCCATATGGCCGGTTTGAAAGGAATATAGAACCTGATCCGGATAAAAATAAAGGTATGATCGTTCACTATTGTTTCTTACTTAATATTTATATTTTAATAAATAATAAAAATTCTAGTAATAATAAAGTAAAAAGCTATAAAAGGGGGTTTAGAGAATGGGAGTGAAATATGTAAAAAAACACACTGAGAATATCTTCTTCTTTTTCCTCACCTTAATCCCAACCACTTGGGGTCATCCATTCTTATCCCAAACTTCCACTTGACACGATCTCCCACATATCTACGCTTACATCAGTCGTTCTCATATTGCATTCATTAACATATCTCCATCTCTTTTATGGTCTTCCACTCTCTATTTTCCACTTATCCATCTAAGCATTCTCATCTCTGTTACAGTCATTCTCTGCTTTATTCTCTTGTCAACCACCCATACTCTGAACTATACATCATATCTGGTCTCACTACAGTCTTATAGAACTTATCTTTCAGTCTCATTGGAATTCTCTTATCGCATTACATACTAGACGCTTCTCTCCACTTCATCCATCTACACTAAATCCTGTGTCATAAATCCTCGTCAATATCACCGTTCTTTTGCACAAGTAATTCTTAATATGTCAAAGTTTTCATCTTTTCTATCACGACTTCGCTTATTGTCACTGATCTTTGATGTAATTTTTCAAAATACTATTTCCACCTTCTTTTCACATCATTATCATTTGTTAGCACTCTCTTATCATCACTTTTTATACACCTTACATTGTGATAATCTTTAGACCGTTTTTCTCTTACTTTTGCAACCCTATAGACTTCTTTTTTACCTTTCTTTGTTCCTAGCCCATCATACAACTCATACCTCTTAAACTTTGCTTCACTTACCACACGCTTGGAATTTTTGCATAAGCTTTTATAATCCAACCAATCTTTACTTAATCTTCAATTAACATAAAAATTAAGAAGTAACAAGAGTACATAATCAATTTTAAACAAAAATCATTTTTTAATTTTAATTGAAAAATAAGGGACATCAGTGTGCAATAGCACATTGAGCTTTAACAACATTGGTAGTGGGTGGCAGCAAGACATAGAAGTTAGAGGAAAACTATGAACTTCATATTCTAGGGTGAAAAATACACATTCGTTTAAAGTATATGAAATAAAATAATACTGTGATCTACCTTATGAGCAATCCTCCATACATTAAATGAGTTAGTAAAATAAATAAAAAATAGTTAATAATGTAGTAAAACTAACCCAGAAAAAAATTTTAAAATTATAGATTACAACATTTAATAGTAAGTTTCTATTAGGAAAGTTGTTAACTTAATTAAAAGAAATGCACTATGCTGTTATGTTTTTAATTATTAATACAAATTTTATATATATTTATAGTAGTGTATTAAGTTTTATTTAGATGTGGTCTAGGGATCATTTTATTATGATACTGTAGCATTACAGGTATCGGGTAATGTATATATTTTATTGATAAATAATTTAATAAAATATACTACTACTAAATACTATACAATTACACATATCTAGTAAATTAAATTCATCGTTTTATAGAATCTGGAATAAAAAGAATGATGAAAAAATTTGTAAATAAAGATGGTGCTAAAATTCAAGAAGATATGGCATGGCAAATTGCTGAAATGATTGTAAAGGATGTAACAAGTATAACTATGGCTAATAATTATGGTGATTCTGACATTGAATAAATTATTTCAGTCAAACAATTTTTTTTTAATTCCTTGCATTATAAAATTATATGACAGATGTTATTTTAATTTGTACTAAAAATATGCACAAATTTCTAAGTAATTTATTTTTGATACTCTATAATAATTGAATTTTAATATTTTTTATAATATACAATTATTTACCAAAGTCTGTTGAATAATTAAATATTAAAATGACCTCATGTTAAACTCTGTCATGGATATTATTTATATTGTTATTCAAAAATATATTTTTAAATTTTGTATATATAGAAGAAATAATAGTATTTTTTTTATCAATCTATTTTGTTATTTATATTTTATAAATTATATTTAATTATTAAATAAAATTTTTGTAAAAAATATCTAAGATTATTATGAATATTACAATATAATTTATTTTAAAAATATCAAAGAATTAGTATTTTGGTAATCAAACTATTTATTATAATAAAATGTATTAAAGAATTATATATTTTAGGGTTAGACTAAATCAAAATGAGAACTATCTATTTTCATTAATGGACAAATATTAATTTTTATTTAAATAAAACCAAATTTATATCTGTCTTATTTTCATTTTTCAATATTATAAACTCAATGTAAGAACAATTTAACTATAACAAAACTATTTTATATCTTAATCATAAACAAGTTTACTAATAACTTAAGATATTAATAATGTCAACTTTCTCATTCTTTGTCATGTTTTATTCTGATACACATATAAAAGATAGAAAAAAATCAAATCCACTAATTGGCAGTGTACAATTATTTTCTCTATCAGTTACAAAAATTTTCAACGATACTAGAGATTTAAAAACATTTTTAGATTTTAATTAGTTGAACAATAATTTATTATAATTGTTTATGTATTTATTTTATTGAAGTAGCGTTTAGTCTTATAAAATATTATCAAATATTGTGTATAATTTATATGAAAGTTGAAGTTTTGTGTAAAGTTTGTTATTTCATTCACTTTTTGTCAATGTTTAGTTAGTTTCATCTATAATATGGAGCTGGAATTTTGATTGTCAATACGATGTACAATCTTAATTATTACAATAATAATACAACATTTTAGGATGTACAATTCAATTAAACATTATTAAATAGTTCATGATTGGAAATTATAAAAGTTCAAATAAGGTATTGCATATTAAATTGAACAACAATTTTTTTTTCATTTAAATTAACATTTTATTAAATATTTTAATAACAAATTTATAATTGACGAATGAATAATAAAAATCCAAAGTATTTAATGATAAAAAAATACAATTCAAAAAATTATGTATACAATAGTATGATACAGTATCAGTTCTTGCTCTTCAAATTAATGTGAGATTTAACAACTGTAAATAATGCAGGTGATAAATATTTCTTACTTAGTCTTATATAATTTTCTACTGTATCATATTTAGATAGTTGATCTACTAAATCAACAATAGTCATACTCATTTTTTTGATTTTTTGTCTTTCAGAATGCAGTTTTGTCTTTAATTTTAGTTTACTTGGAGTATTAGCTAATAAGTATAATGGAGTTTGAGTGATAGAATCACTTGACGACACAGGAGATTCATAGCCACTTTGATCAATCAATGCACTCTTTGATAAAGAATTAAAAGGTTCAGTAGTTGAAGGACTAGATGTTACACATTTTATTATTTCCTGCTGTCTTTGAAAAATTATGTTATCTAAAGTTTAAAAAAATTATTATGTACATTACTGAAACTGTCAATGTTGATTTACTTTTTACAATATTTGAATTACTTTAGATATAATAGATAATTAAATTAAAATTTTATAATTTTAATTTTTAAACTATTATAATAATTATAATAACAATTATTGTTATAAGTCATTAGTTAAAAAGGACCCATGTATTATTTTCAGTAAATTATTTTTATTACTTAATAATAATCTAATATAAACACATAACATAAAATTTTTTTCTATATTTCCTGAAATTATAATTTTAGACTTTAAATTTATAACGAACTAAGAAAAAAATATTATAAAAGTAAACTACTAATTAATTTTTAATGATTAAACTACACTGAATAAAAATGTCTTACAAATAATCAAAAAAAAATACCAACCACTAAATAATGTAGGTACTGCATCATGTACCAGCCGATTTTTAGTAGTTCTGTTCAAAAACATTTTATCTTCGAAATGATCCGCGCAAACTATAAGATTTTTTTTTTTTGATAAAGCCTCTGCCAAATGATTAGTTTGACAATTTGCCAACCATAGTTTCAGACGATTGCTTTCTTTAGGATAAGAAAAAAAGCTTTTATCCTTGTAGGAACATCTACTTGAACAATACTTCACTGAACATCGCATACCGGTTGGATAGTGAGACATTTTAAAAGAAAGCGCCAAAATATAACATGAAATAAGATACTTGAGATCAAACGTATGAACAAAAGTGTCAACAAAAACAAATTAGGTAGTAATGATAGAACATAACAGTTACTGCTTGTGTAGTAATAACAATCTGTTACTTGGAAGAAATATTAACAGATACAATTATTTTGTGCTTTACACAAGTCGTCAATATTCACCAGTCTTTTAACATATAAAACAATTATATCACTGTTTTCTTGAAATAACAACACAGACTATATGAAAACAGATAGTTCACTTGGTCCGAAAACAAAACGGTGTTTTGATTGGCAGAAGAGAAACCAGTGCAACTATATGTATGAGCGCAAAAATTCTTTTAATTTATTTCATTATTAAATCTGCTCTAGCATAAATATTATTATGAAATTCCGTAAAAAATTATGATTATTGACATAATTTATTTTAATACTTCATTAAATTAAGGTATTAAACCCATAATCCCTCATTTAGCCTTATTTATTACCTTTTCATGACTAATAATCCCTAAATTTATCATAAAAATTAAGTAATTCTCAGTTTTTATAATGTAAATTATTAATTACTTGAATTTGACTTAAGCTGTTACAATTGTTCTTGTTTCTGTACATGAATACAAATTTAGGTAGCTAAAGATGCGGGTTTCCTATTTTAGTAGGCTTTGAGGTCAAATTTCTATAGGAGAAGAAACGATTTAAGTAGTAATTGGAATCAATTTTATATGTTATAATTAATTACGTACTATCCGGCCGGCAAAATGTAGGGAGTCTAGATACCTCAAATACATTTACTTATGTATATTTGTTTACCTATCCCAACCATAAAACTGTTTTAGCCCTGCATAGAATGCCAACCTTCTTCTATTCAACACATTTGTTTACTTATCCCAAACATGAACCTGTTCTAGTCCTGCACTAGTTTAAAATGCAGGGTGCTATTGTTCTAGGACAATAGCACCTTGTGTAAGTGTACTAGATGACTAAGGAACTTAGTAACTTAATAATTTTTTATTTTATGTGTTTATTATATTATACAGAGTGTTCAGTAAGTCAGGAAACGGGTTTCTATTGTTCTCATTGTTACAAACAATGAGAACAATAGAAACCCGTTTCCTGACTTACTGAATACTCTGTATAATATAATTGTTAAACAATAAACTTGATCACTGAAAATAATCCATGGGTTTCTTTCAACAAATGACTTATCATAACAATAATAATAATTTTAAAAAACGGTAGCACAGTGGGGTCGCGGCATATAATATTGTAATTTTTACAGAAATATTATAAAAATAAAAAGGAGTTGTATATTCATATATTTTTAATGCATATAAAAATTTAAAGGGATTGATGCAATACTATTTAATAAAAAAATTTTGTTACTTATGAATAAATACAATAGACTACAAGGTACTTTCATCAGAAATAAAAATATACTTTTCTAAATCAATTTTTCGCTATGTTTTCAAATGTGCAATTAAACTTTTTCTATTACTTCTAAGTTTTAATATTATTACTTATTATTAAAAAATAAGTATTTACATATAAAAAAAAAATAATTAAGAACAAAAAAAATTGTTTTAAATTAATACTGATTTTGATTATTAATATGTTAAAATAAGGAACCTATTTTTTTAATAAGGGCTTGATACAATATTTTTCAATAAAAACTATTTGTTACTATAAATAAATACACTGGGCTACAAGGAACTTTCATCAGAAACAAAAATATACTATTCTAAATCAACTTTCCGCATTGTTTTCAAATGTGCAATTAGACTTTTTCTATCACTTCTAAGTTTTAATGTTTTTATAAAATAATATTTACATATAAAAAAAATAATTAAGAACAAAAAAAAATTGTTTTAAATTAATACTGATTTTGATTATTAATATGTTATAAATAAGGAAAATGACATATTTGACCTATTTTTTTAATCGTTTAAAGTTGATTTATGTAAATATTTATAAAAAAAAAAAAAAAATTTATTTTACCATAACTTTTAGCTCAATTACAAGTTGAAATTGACATCATTAAATAGAAAATTTTATGAGAATTAAAATTATGCTATTTTTTAGACTAATATGCAGTCAGGAAATTTTACAATTACTATTTATTGTAAATTTATCAGAAAAGCTCAATATTTTTTTGCAATTTTATCGTAATAGATAACTAAAATAGAAGTAATTGTAATAATTTCCTAGTAACTTTTGGTGTTTCACAGTGCAGAAGGGAACGGGAAACCACTGCACCTAAATGTCCCCAGGATATAACAATGGGATTAACCAACTTAACGGTTATTAAAAAAAAAAATTATGCAACAGTAAAAATTATTAAAATTGGATATATATTGTTTATTGGCAAGAACTATGACCTAACTTTCAAAAAAACAGGCAAAATAAAATTCAGTATTTAATATTATTAAATAACTTTAATTAATAATTTTTTGTCAAAATTACTCTAAATCAACTCAAATGTTTTGATTTAATCTAAAAATATAATTTTTTATAAACTGCCTTAGAAACAATTTAAAAGTGATAAATGTGGCCTATTGATTAAATAAATATTTTTGTTTCAAGGTTTATTATTATTATATAAGAAAATACTTGTTTTGTGTATGATATATTATATATTTTTTAATATATAATCACAGTTGAAAATATTAAAATAAAAAATTTAATTTGCAAAAAAACTAAATTTATTTATTATAATTTAAATTATTGTGATAATTACACAATATATTAATATTCAAAACTAGTATTATAACACATTACCAAACAGATAAAGTTATTTTAGTAAATGTAATAAACCAAAAATAAAAAGAAAGAAAAGGGTTAAGCATAGATTAAATAGCGGTGAATAAATAATTAAATAAAATAAAAATAAATAGATGGTTCTTAGTTATATTAATTATATGTTTTTTAAAATTAAATTATAATTAAAATAAAAATTTAATTTCTCGTCTATAATATTTATTATGATTTACACATTTATTGTTTCTCTTATTAATAATTAATTTTTCTATTACATTTTTATTAATGGTTTATTATGCAATAGATTGTTGGAGATTCGAAAGCATAGATTAAATTGTACTTACCTTACGTCCTGTGTAATGCAATATTATTTCAAATAATCCAATATTGATTTTGGTATTAAACGCACTACATATACGATTTACACTATTCGTCATATAGTCCATATAATTACTTACAAAAACTATTTAAAATTTAAAATAATAAGATTTAATTACACAAATTCTACGACTGATCTTACTTGTAAAAGATTCTAAACACTCTATATTTTATTATAAATATAATNTACTTGTAAAAGATTCTAAACACTATATTTTATTATAAATATAATTTTAATTTTTTTTTACGTCTGTTGAATAAGTATTTTTAGAGAGTATATTTTATTGAGAGATCGACACCAATATTTCTTAAATTTTCCTCTGGCCTAACCAAAACAAAATTCAGAAATATTTATATCTGTGTAAAAAATTTATCAAGTCGGAATTGTGGTGGCCCAATGTGTCCCGGCACTAGAAAGCGCCTTGAAAGGATGCGGCACAATAATCACCAAGACAAAAATTAAACACTAAAAATATATTTGTAAGTTTCTTTGCCGCTGTCCGCCGGCGCGATGCTCGTTAAAGCAAAGGCATTAAGCTCAATGACTAGCTACCCAATAAGAAAAGATCACAATGTATTTTTATTATTAAATAAAATTTAAAGTTGGGTTGAATTTATTATTAAAATAAAATAATTTCTAAATACAAATTTAGTATCCGAAAAAAAACTTAAAAATAGAAAATTAGCAATTCTTCAGCATTTATAAATTAACATTTTTTCATCTACACATGCATATTTTTAATTCATAATTAACTTTTAATTTTTTTTATTATTAAACTTAAAATTAAATTATTTATCTAGGTGAACGGAATGGTTTTTTTTTACATTAAGGACTATTTTTTTGGAAAATTCAGAGATACTGTGTCATACTAATATTGTGAACATAATTTTTTATATTTTGAATTGTTGTATTATTTTTATTAACATATATTTTTTATTTATCATGAATTTATTACTAATATATTTTTTATTCAATAAAATATTAATTTAAATAAATAACATTTATTGTTCAAATTAATATATAATACTTTATTTTAACTTTTACAATTTCCTATAGAGAACGAATAAATAATGTGTATTTGACTTGATTGACAAATAAATAACAGCAAGTACATCCTAAAAAGTTAAAATTTAATTTAGATTGTATATCAAATGATACCAAGTGTACTTACCAAAAATTACAGCTTCATATATTATAGATCAAACTAACTAAACGTTGACAAAAAAATGTATAAAATAATAAACTTTACACAAAATTTAATAATTTTTTTCGTTGGGGGATACGGATATCATATCCTTCCCCAGTGTTGTTGTTATATATTTTATGAACATTTTCTGTGGCGCGTTCCTGTGTTATCCACAAAAGTTTAATAATTTTAAACGATTTTTTTATATTAAAAATTCAAGTATTTTATTTTAATTTTTTTTATTTAGAACACTACTTATCGAATAAGTTTCCACGGGAGTACATTTGTTCTCTATAAACTAAGGAACAATTGATCTTTGATATTGAAATAATTTTTATATTAAGATAGATGATTATAAATACTTTATTATATAGAACATTTATTATAAATAAATAAAAAATAATTCAAAAACAAATTTATATAAATAATGTGAAATAAAACAAAAAAACACTAATTATTTATGAATCACATTATATAAAAATAAATAATAAAACAAAACAACTGAAACTCAAAAGAAGTTTAGTATTGTTAATAGTATTAGCATTTGACTCTGACGGCATTTCAAAAAACATCGAACTAGACAAGCCAGGAATTTGTCCTTTTTTCAGTTTTGGATATGTAGCTGACGGAACTGGTTGCCATGAAGCATCAATTTCAAAATTAATTATCTTAGTTAATGTATCGACACGCACTTTGTCTAAGATCTCTGAATGAATATTCAATACGACATAAGCAGCTTGTGGTGTTAAATATTTAAGGTGTGTTTCATCCATAAGCTAACAGAGTAATAAATATCTATATAGAATATTTAGTTGCAAAGATGTATATAACATTTATCTTTATTGTCATGCGAAAAGTAATTTATTTATTTATTTATTTGAATAATAAACGCCTATTAGACATAAAGTACAGACAAAATGAACACAAAAGAATATAGATATAGGTTTTACAAAAGTATAGATAATAACAATATATGAGAATAACATACAACCGAAAAAAAAAAGCATATACAGATAGTACACAGTTCTAATTAGAATTTATTAATACGAAATCGATGCACTAAATACAATGTTCCCTTAAACAATTTTTCATTTTAAGGGGCGTATGGAAAAACAAATCAAAGTTTTCGATTTTATTGCCTAATGACAACATCCGGTTTAGCGGTGCGAAGATACAGTAATTTCGTTTGAATGTAGGAACATGGAATGTATAAGTAGACCTTAATGAAAATTTCGGGACGTTGAAAGAAATTAGGGATTAAACCTCAGAACAATCAATATTAGAATTTAACAATTTATACAGCCAGTTCAAATCATTAAATTGCCTTTTAAATTCTAGCGTTTCAATATTAAAATCTATTGCTACCGATTTTAATGTTTGATCGACTCTATTGTCTTATATGCTAACATCCGTAAAAAGCGATTTTGTATGTTTTCTAATTTTTAATTTGGTAATTCTGGTGTGGGCTCCAAATTATTCATCCATATTCTAAATTTGAACGAACAAGGGAAAAATATAAAACGCGTATACAGATGGGGTCATTAAACTCCCAACAGTTTCGGTTCAAAAACCCAAATAATCGTAAAGCTTTGTTCGTAATTATATTTATATGTTCAGTATATGAAAGATCACAAGAGAAAATAATACCTAAATCTTTTACTTTATTTAAAATATTTAGTTTTTTACCATTTATTTTGTATTGTGTATTTAAGTTTTGCTTATTCCTTGTAAATGTTATTTGAAAGCACTCGTCTATGTTCAGATTAAGATCATTATTTATGCACCATAAATTAAGTTGATTAAGATCGTGTTGCAAATTATTAGAGTCTTCCAGTGGTCGAAGTGGGGGGGTATGCCATCCCTCTTCTTGTTTTAATTTACATTTTTCATACCTCTACTTATTATCTCTCAAATAATACATCCCCCTTTATATTGTTCAATGTGTATTCAGATTATCGATTTATATTGATGTTGACACGGCCCGCGTCGCTTCGTTATAAACGATGCCCTGCGACTCGTGCCACCTTTATCAGCCGTCGCCCTACTTTATGAGTATTTGACTGACCAACACCGCGGTGCAAAGTCCTGCGAGTGCCGCACGGCCAACGACGACCCGCCGCAAATGGCGCGAGAGTCTTCCTCCCGTTGTGAAAGCGACAACGTCGACCAACCGATCCGCACCGTCGCCTACAACGCAGCTAACCTTTTGTCGCCCAAGGATTACACGCCGGTCATCGCGTCGTCGATGCCCGCGAAAGTGCCGCGATATTATGCGAAGATTTTTATTATTGTGTTTAACTTTTCGGTTTGTTTTATTTTTTGTTAAAATAACCCGTTGTCGCTCATTTAATAAGCGGCCCACGGGTCTCTACCCTCATGACCCGTGTCGACCACATTTTTGCGACGTAAGTCGTGTCAATGTTTTTAATGAAATTAAAAATGGAATTTTTAACAATTATGAATTTTTCCAATGTTTCTTTTAAATGAGTTTTGTTAAGAAACGAGTTTAGTATTTTTTTCGTTTAAATTAGACTATATGACGCCTAAATTAAATAAATCTAAACTGTTAATACATGTGTACAGTCTTGGATTTTAAAAGGAAGAAGAAGTGCTGACCATACTCAATGCGTTTCTAAATAGCCAATTTTGTTTAACACTGAATATGAAAGTCTTTGGGAGAAAATGTAAAAATTGTATAACTATAACTTATTTATACATATATTTATTTATTATATAATTCCAGTTTACTTTAAATTTAAAAAAAATGTGTATTACTGTTTTAGTTCTTATATACGAGAAACACAAAAATGGAGGGCATCCCTCCACATATTTTGAGCCACTTCGACCACTGGAGTCTTCTAAAGTTAATATAGGCATGTACATTTTTAAGTCATCAGAAAATAATGAAAATTTACAAAAATGAAATATATAATTAATATCATTCAAAAACAATATAAATAAAATAGGCGATAAATGACCACCCTGTGGTACGCCAGAAATTACATTTATAATCGACGATAGTGATTCTCTTATTTTAACTTTTTGGGTTCGATTTGATAAAGAAGACTGAAACCAAGAAAGAATTGGATCATGAACTCCAATAATTTTAAGTTTATCAATTAAAATATTTATATTAACAGTGTCAAATGCCTTCTTAATATCGGTGTAAACTACATCCACTTGGATGTCATTACTTATTGAATGAACTAAATCAGAGCAATAAACCATTAGATTTGTTAGCGTGGATTTCGATTCACGAAAACCGTGTTGGTTGTTTACTAAAACATTTTTAAAAATATTAGACATCTTAAATTCAAGAAGTTTTTTAAAGAATTTTGGCAAAACACTTAAGCAAAATATGGGACGATAATTATTAATATGAGCGCGATTTCCAAATTTAAATACTGGGTAAATGAAACTAAGTTTTCCAGAAGTCAGGAAATACACCTGATGATAAAGATAAGTTTAATAGATAATGAATTGGACGAGTTAAAGTATAACAACATTTGCGATAAATTATTTTTGGAATCTGATTAATTTAAATTCATTTTTTTATTTTATTACTTAAAAAAATCCATAAACAATAAACAAATTTTTAAAAAGGTAATTAAACATTATTCAATCATTGAATCACATAAAAGTTACAAATAATATTAAATTACCAAAAAAAATATATTAAAATATGTACTTACTTCAATATGAGATTTACTAAGACATTCAACAGCATTTGGAGTTATTCCTTCTAAAGCATTAGAATTATAATCTAACAGAGATTTCCATTGGGTTGTATTTATTCCTAAATATGTGATTTAATATGTTAATATTTTTGAGAAAATATATTATTAAAAAAATAATTGCTTATTTACTAATCTCATAAGCAGATTCAGATCTAAAAAACGATAGCATTTTCTAGATCTGACAGTGGGGACATAACATAATTAATTCTAGTATAGATAATATCTGATAGTAATCACAATCATAAAAAACGCTTTGATACAAATTTGTAAATAGTTTTTAATTTTAAGAAATTGGTGGATTTCTATTCTGCAATTAACTTTTTTTATCGCCCCTATTTAGAAATTATAATTATTAGTAAAAAACTAATATTTACATATAAAAAATAATGTAAAACAAAAACAATTTTTTTTCAAATTATTATTGATTTTGATTTTTAATGTTTTAAAAATAATCAGTGTAAAATGTCATAATTAACCTGTTTTTTATTTTTAGTTTTGATGCGAAACTGAGAAGGTATTAATTTTACTAAAATGTGTTTTTATTTTGTGTCTGTATTACTTTTTCTCAGCTCTCGTCGAACCGATTTCTTTCAATGATATGTCAAAAGATCACAAATTGTATCTAGCCGAAGACATGACCCTCAAAGATTGAAAAAATATCCCTCGTTCTCATAAATAAGGAAAATCTCTAAAAAAATTACAAATTTAAAAATCGGTAATTTTCGACATTTGTTTTTATTAAAACTGCCATAACTTTTTTGAAAAATGTATGGGTCAATACAATTTTTTTTATAGACACATGATGTAATTATCTATCATTTTGTAAATTGTTTGTATAAATCTGACTCTTTATGTGCCTATAGAAGGGATTCAAAATGACAACTTTTTCACTTAACTTTTGAAAGTGTTACGAAAACACTGATACTTTTATATATATATATATCTTAAATTAAAGTATATGTAATATACTACTTTATTATGAAAAAAAAATGTCGAACTTTATTTTGTCTACATGGTGAAAATGACTGCCGTATTCAAAATTATGCTATTTTTAGGTTGAAATTCTCGATTTTATATTTTTAACTTTATATTTCTACTACTGTGATCAAAAAGTAAGGTGAAATTGTTTATAAAATGAAAATTCTTTATTTATACTTTCAAATCAATTTCTTCTCCTCCAAAGTAATCCCCGCCCGATAAAATGCACTTTTGCCAACGCTTTTTGCTCGAAACAATTGAAATAGTCCTTTTCCGGTATAACCTTCAAGACCTTCTTTAATTCGGTTTTTATCTCCTCAATCATATAAAAACGATGTCCCCGCAGCGACTTTTTTAATTTGCTGAATAGCCAAAGGTCGCATGGAGCTAAATCAGGTGAACACATTGGTTGCTGAACGATACGAGTCGAGTTTTTGGCAAAAAAGTCGCGAGAACCAATGTAGTATGAGATGGCACATTATCGTGATGAAGGAACCAAGATTTGTTCACCTATAATTCCGAGCATTTCAAACGAATAGCTTCAAGCAAATAACGCATAACACTCAAATAATACGATTTGTTGACAGTTTGGCCCGGCGGTAGGAATTCATTGTGCACGATAATCAAAGAAAACTGTCAACATGACCTTGATTTTCGATTGACTTTGCCGTGGTCTTTTCGGTCCTGCTTCTCCTTTTGCACGATATTCGCTAGATTGGTCGATGGTTTTGTTGAAAATGTTACGGGAATACTGTAGATGATACAATTTAAATATTTTGAACTATTTTCCTTATAGTTTTTAACTAATTAGTATTAATATCAAAAATTAGTGGTGATAGAAAAAATTTAATTGCTGATTTTAAATTATTACAAAAAATTGAATAATAAAAGTATATTTTTGACTCTGATGAAAATTTCTTGCAGACCATTTATTCATAATTAACAACAAATATAATTTTTCTAAAAAGTTTTGTGTTAAGCCCTCCTCAAGTTTTATACACGTTTGACATAAAAGTAATATCTACTTTATAATTTTTTATAAATTCTACAAAAAAAATTATAATACTAAATTATTAAATATTAATCTCATACTATACTTAAATGCTATAATCATTTATTCATACATTATAATTCTAAATAAAAAAAACCCAGCACAGTGGGGACGTGCCATAGTTGGGTCCAGAATAGACTTAATCTGACAGTGATTAAAATCACTATCATAAGAAACGCTTCGATACAAATCTGTAGATAGTGTTTCATTTATAGAAATTGGTGGATTATTCCAAAAGCAACATCAACTCTTATTTCTTTGATTATATCCCGATAAGTAGTTCTTTGATTTTAAAATATAATATATGAATAAATACTAATTATAATTATTAAATTTAGTATGAAATTTATTTATTTATTATTTATTCAATAATTTAATATTGTAATTTATACGGAGAAATTATAAAAATAATAAAGAAGTTATATTTTGCTTTATTTTTACGTGTATAAAAATTTAAAGGGCTTGATACAATAATTTTCAATAAAAACTGTTTGTTACTATAAAANAATATTTTTCAATAAAAACTCTTTGTTACTATAAATAAATACACTGGACTACAAGGAACTTTCATCAGAAACAAAAATATACTATTCTAACTCAACTTTCCGCGTTGTTTTCAAATGTGCAATTACACTTTTTCTATCACTTCTAAGTTTTAATGTTTTTAATAAATAATATTTACATATAAAAAAAATAATTAAGAACAAAAAAAAATTGTTTTAAATTAATACTGATTTTGATTATTAATATGTTATAAATAAGGAAAATGACATATTTGACCTATTTTTTTAATCGTTTAAAGTTGATTTATGTAAATATTTATAAAAAAAAAAAAAATTTATTTTACCATAACTTTTAGCTCAATTACAAGTTGAAATTGACATCATTAAATAGAAAATTTTATGAGAATTAAAATTATGCTATTTTTTAGACTAATATGCAGTCAGGAAATTACTATTTATTGTAAATTTATCAGAAAAGCTCAATATTTTTTTGCAATTTTATCGTAATAGATAACTAAAATAGAAGTAATAGTAATAATTTCCTAGTAACTTTTGGTGTTTGAAAAGATTCTGCAATTGAAATATTCAGAACTTAATTAATTTTAATGATTTACTTTAACTAAATGTACCAATCAAAACAAAGTTGTTAAAAAGATTTACTCAATTGAGCGTATAATAAAATTTGATTATAATTGTAAAAATCCACTGTCAATTCAGGAGAAACTAACAATCATTTTTTTTTAGAAAAGATTTATATAGCAACATGTTACCAACAAATTTGGAATATTATAGTCTAGTAGTAGCACACAGAAATAGAGTAAAAAATTAATAAATTACAAAGTAAAATGATTTAATTTTGTATTTGAAACCTATCATATCAAACTTAATTCGTCAATAAATACTTTGAAAACATTAGAAATGAATGATTTTAATTGTCTTTATGGAGAACATGTAATAACGAACTGTTAAATTGATAAATTAGAATTTTTTTTCAATTTTTGAGAGTAATATCTTCAACTAGATACGAATTGTAGTCATTTGACGTATCGTTGAAGAAAGTAGGTCAAGTTAGAGCAGAGAAAATAAATGATAGTCACAAAAAAATATCTTCTCAGCTTTGCATCGAAGCTAAAACTTAAAATATAGTAAAATAATTTTAATACGAATAAGAAATTTCTTCTCGCATTGGGCGACTAAAGTGATGGGATCATTGATCTTTATTGAAGTTATTGAATCTAAATGAGATAAAAATCAAAGCAGTTGAAAATTTATTCTAACTTAAAAAGAATTGAGAAAAAATGCAAAAATTTGTCTTGCCATACGCAGGTTGGAACCCTGTACCCCAAGCGCGTAAAACACAAGTTTAACCGACTCGGCAACCGTATATCGCTAACGTCGCGAAAATTAATTACTGTCAGATATCATTTATACTTACCCCAACTATGCCCCGTCCACACTGTGCTGCCGTTTTTTGAGGTCAACATGCAAGATATTAGGTTTAAAAAACTACAATAATAGGTAATTAAATAATTTTTATGTAAGTGTATGTGCACCCAGCCTCGCTAAATACCCAACATATATATTTAAAATGCTGTAACGGATTAACATTCATGTTGTGTATATTATTGTATTTATTTTGTAAGTAATCAAGTGGTTTATGACAAACTGATCAATATGTATATGTTTTAGGCGTTTATGTTTTTTTGTATCCTTTAGGCATATAAATAACAGATCGATAAATTCAAAAATTATTATATGAGTTAATAGTACAATGAATATCCATTTCTTGTAAAAAACCTCTAATATATTCAGTAGTTGCTAATGTCAAAGATATATGTTATAGTAGATAAAGATATAGTTTGCTGTTTTTTATTTGACCTGCAAATTCAATTTCTAAAAAGTTTTAAAAATAATACCATTTGTTGATTTTCAATTTTTTTGTTCACCAGGAAAATCTAAATCACAAAAACTAATTAATTTTCCTTAATTATTTCTTTAATAAAAAAGACTTATTTTTTTTTGGCTCTTCTTAATATTTTAATATACATTTAAAAATTATTCTAGGGGTTAACTTTTGGATTTGATTATTTTAGGCTTAGATATACAACTGCAAAAATAATATTTGGCCTTAAATGAGTAGCAACATTCATTAAATATCCTAGAAGTTGTAATGAATTAGACTGAGAATCAATGTATACAGATTTTGTTTCTTTATATGTTTTATTTTCAAGTTTAGTTTGTTCAATTTGTATAATGTCATTTATTTAATTTTCTTCAATAATGACTTCATCTTCAATGTTTTCTATTTGTATTATATGTTTTTTTTTTCTTAAAGTATTGTCTCATTTACATTAAATAGTACATCACTATTGTAAATAATTACCTTTCTTTTAAATCTTATATTTTATAATAACTGTTTTCATAACCAGTAAATATATATTTAATAGATCTAGAAAAGATCTTAATCAGCAATCCCAGATTTCTTTTGATTTATCTTTAAAGTCATTAAAATTAAATAAAGGAGAAAAACTCATATTTATATAATATATTACATAACTGAACAGGAACTAAAAAAAAGTATCAAATTATATATTACAACAGTTCCCATTTATGAAAATTAATTGAGATCTTTTAATCTTTAAGGGATGATAGAAAAAAATTATTCAACTACATGTTGTTGTAGTTTTTAAAATCTAATATTTTTTCTCTTTGTAAAAATTAAAAATTCTTAATAATTTCTAAGCAAAAGAGTGCCTTACCTAATTTAGATTACTTAGTATACATAGACAGATTTTTACTTAAAAAATTAATTTAGTATCTTATTCATTTTATTTTATTATGCTCGTACAAGTATGTTTTGACTTTAAGATAATATATATTTTCAACTTTTTGTCAAAATATTAGCATCATATTTTGGCTATTTTAAAAGAATATTTTTCTGTACTCTTTTCATAAGTTAATAACCATTGGAGAAGTATAATTGATATGATACACATTTTAGTGTTTACACATTTTACAATTACCACATAGTATAAATATATGATAATTGGAAAATAATTATATTTTGCAATCTCGTCATCATGACTATAGGAATCATCATTACATAATGATCAACTTTATTGCATCATATGATCTTAAAATATTATGCATAAAAAATTAAATCATACTATTTACCTGCTATAATGACTCCCATACGTTCAATTTCAGATGCACTCCAAAATTTTGACTCACCAATTCTAGATATTGCTATTAATGCTAAATTTTTCACACACATATCATCACACATTAATATAGATTTAAAAGCTGTACTTGTTTCCCAGAAGAGATCTGATGTGTGCATCATAATCTGAACAGTTTGCTGAGGCAATTGGCATATTAATGATCCAAATGAGCCCCATAAGTGATTCATTTTATTTATATTTTCTTCCAATTTTGATAAAAACTGTCTAGTAATCTCTTTACGCTAATACACAAAATATATTAACCGTATAAAATAAATAAAGTAATACAAATTAACTTTCAAAGTTATTAACTTTTTTAATTTTCAAATGAACTTTAAATTATATCAATTAAATATATATATTTAAGTTTTTAATACCCTCCTCTATAATCTTAAGTATATCTCTTAGTAAAATATATATTTGAAGGAAAAATTAAAACTACCTTTTTATTTTTAAAAATATTTACAATGCAAATAAATAGTAGGTAAACAAATATTAGAGTATTATGTAATTGAAATTCTCAAACTATTCATTTTTATCATTTTATAGAAAATGTTGTCTAATTTTAATTGTCAAATTGAAAAATTCGGAAACTAAGAAAAAATTTATCAATAGGCTTATATTTGAACCTTCATCTCTACCTGGCCTAAATAGAATTTTAATATTTATTACATACTAAGTAATAATTTTATATATATCAACATACAACTGTCATATTTTTTATATGATTGCCAAGTAAATTAATTATTTCCAATGTCCAAGGATTCTTTATATCCAAATTTAATGACTGCAGTTCATCAATAGATAATCCAGATATAACAGAACCATAAGTATGAATAGCAGTCTAAACAAATTAATTAATTGTTATCAAATTATTTATTAAGTATTTAATTAATCATGTTATTTCTTTTGTAAAACTTTAACATTTTACCTTATCTTTAATTCTATACCAAATATTATTTGTTAAATTTTGTTTCAATTCTAATGACCCCAAAAAATCTACACATTCTGTCAGTTCTTCATCACTCATTTTTTCTATAATAGAGTCAAAACTTTTAGAGATAATTGAAGCAGGGCCCAAAATTCGTAGGGTATCACAAGTAATCTAAAAAATAATCCATTAGATATTTGTCCACGAGAAACAAATAGTTTTCATATATAGCCTAATAAAAAAACTAAATATGAATACCCTTAAATATCTTAAAATATACACTTAAAATACATTTTTTAGCATTTCTATGTAATGAATTACATAATTGGAGAACTTGTAGCCCTAAAAAATTAAACATGCACTTCAAAATCCTAAAATTTGTTTCTATATTAAGCACTTGAAAATTTAGTATGAAATTGATATTGAATAATTTAGTATTGTAAATTTTATAGAGAAATTCTCTATTTTTTAATTTTATATATTTTTGGATTATTAATTATTTAACTTTTTTTTTAATATTTCCCTTATGCCTTGTAAGGGTGTCGTCTTTATTATTTTAAATGACAAGTAAGATATTTAGCTAGCGAATAAAATAAAAATGATATAATTAAAAAATTACTGGTCAAAAAAAATGTTTTAAATATAACTTCAGAATTTATTAACATTTTGAAATATAGAGCAGAAGAAAAGCGCTTCAGAGTAATGTGAAATGATAAAAATAACAAAACCCACACCTCATCTTCATTTTCAATTTTAAAATTGTTATAACTTTTGAAATAATGGGTCTATAGTTGTAATCGACCAGTTCCTTTTTATTATAAGCTAGTTAAATATGTATGTTACATTTAATAGAATAAAGATAACACCCATTTAAGGCAATATAAACACAAATAACTAAAAAAAATTTGAAATAAAAAATTATAAAAACAAAAAATATTGATTTTTTTTATACCAAAATAATATTTTTATTAAAATTTGGGAGCAGTCCAGTGTAAGCGATGGAAAAGTAATGACAGACATAATAAGAAAATAATAATTATAATAAATAAACACATCATAGTAAAATTCTTATCTCCTCTGCTTCTCACCAAAGTTAAAAAGCATTTATGAAAAAAATATGTAAAAAGATTTAATAAAATATGAAAGTATACAACATAAAATTATGAAATTAAATTTATTATTATAGAAAATCAAATTTATGTTTATGTGGCCTATTTTTTTATGTAAATGCAAAGAAAATGTTTAATATATTCATCCTTAATTATAAAAAACTTATTACTTATTATAAATTAGTAACTACTTCAACCAAAAGTGCATGCTAAGAGAATATTCTTACGCAAATGAATTTTATTTTACAAATTTTTATGGTCTATATTAAATAATTATTTTTATTTTTCCAGATAAAAAACAGCTTAATAGAAGACAAATTTCTTTATGCACATTTGCATCAAAATGTTTTGTGATAGTGAAGTTTATTACTGATAGAACTCATTATATTTATTAGCCCTCATTATGCCAAATCCCAAATGTTTTACAATCATTTTATTTAAGACGAGTATTATTAAGTCATAATTATAACAGATTAATCAATTTTCAATGTTCAACATTCAAGATAGCTATGAAAGTTACTTTAACTACTTTATAAATATTTCCAAAAAAGAGTAAATAATATCTTACATTTCTTGTATGACTGAAAAAGTATGTATATGATCTTTTAATCCGAGAATTTTTTGTACCATTAAATGTTGATTTTATGGTACTAGGAATACTTTTTTCAATATTTGTGTTTACATTTAAATCAATTGTAGTAGAGTATAAATTTTCATCAGTTGTATTTTTGAAGTTCAAAGGCTTCTTAGTGGTTGTAGGAATGCCAATTGTTGTGGAAGCAAGTGTGTCTTCATATAATGTTGGTTGTTTTGAATTTTCTATCAAAGGTATGACACTCACTGAATCAGTATTAGTAGTTTCATTATCTTGGAGATTTTTACTTCCATATGCATTATATAAATCATAATTTTTAGGAGTTGTATTAGTTTTTTGTGTAGAACTTGTAGCAATGTTAGTACTATCAGTTGTGTTTAAATCCCTACTCTTGGAATCCTCTGTCATAGAAATAGAATAATTAGAAACAGGAATATTCTCTGTTTTATTAGAACTATTGTTTGAGTTGGGCTCTACTTTGCCAGAGAAAATAGTGCTAAATCTATCAAATAATGTCTTTGATAAATCAAATATACCCGTATCTTCATTATTAGATTGAAAAGGAATTAATATTTTCACTTCTGATGCATAGTTTTTCAATTTTAATTCTGGAGATGTTATAACAGTCTCAGTTTGTTGGTCATTTATAATTGGACTAATCATATTTAATTGATTTTGTATAGAATCTAAGTAAAAATCTATAAGAATAGATAGAGAATTTGTGAATTCAAACTCTTGGTTATTTTGAATCAGGGAACAAGCCTAAAACATCATTTTGTATATTAAATAATATCATAAAAATTAGTGATAATTCTAAATAATTTTACTTTATAGAAAGGTATATCAATTGGTAACCACTCGATAACATCAGCATATCGTGTACTTATGATATCTGCTGAATTTAGTCGTGATAAAATTGGAATAGAATCTAGCTGATCTTGATTTAATACAATTAAAGCATCAGATAGTATTTGAAGAGTATCACTTAACCATGTTTTAGGATTTCTATATTAATTTAAATTATTATTGAAAATAAATAAATATAATTAATATCACTATTGTTAGACAAATAAACAAAAATTTTACCCAAATGATCGAATTATAAGATTAGCCCAATAATCTTTAGCTGCTGTGCTAAAACAAATTCTACTATCAAACAAACCAGCTTCAATTAAAAATTTAAAAGCTTTTCCCTCAACTCTTTCTAAGTTAGTTGTTGTAAGAAAATGTGTAAGATTACCTAATATATATAATTGTTCAAAACTTATATTTGATGAATTTTTTAACTATAAATAATATAAATATTCAATCAAAATTAATATAAAAATAATATAATTAATTAATTTCTATAAACTTACTGTTTTTTCAAGATATTTTTGAACTAAATTTGTAATTTTGCTAGTAGGTGCAGCAATTAAAAGCTCTGCATAACTAAGTTTACCAATTGAATACATAATAGTATGCTTTAAATCTGAGTTCACAATTATTTCAATAGGCAAAGTAGTTAAAATAAATCCTAAGATAAATACACTATAATTAATAAGTCTTTGAACATTTTTAACAGCTCAAAATTTTGTTTTACCTTGAACAGCTTCAATTTCCCATTCTTCTAAAAATAATGGGGATGGTTTATCAGTGGACAAAACAGATTTTAAACGAAGATACTTCATAAATACTTTAGCAACACAAGGCTGTAAGCTTTTTGGAAAAGTCTATGGAAATATAAATATATACTAATGAAAAATAACTAAATTTCAAAAATATTTGTACATTCAATCCAAAAATTTTATTTAGTCTTAATATTTTGATAGAACATCAACACATATTTTTTTATCAACATTATTTGTGTATTAATTGTTTATTTTAATTATTATTATAATAAGGCTTCAATTACAAAGAATGAGCCAAATAAGAATAATTCTTTAATAATGTCATTAAGTGTTTACAATTTATTAAGTAGGTTTATTTAAATAAAAAAAGGTTGGAATTCTTGAATTTTTTTAATTAAGAAATCTTTTTAAATGTTATTTGTTTAAATTATAATGTGTTATTTTACTTATAATTTCTAGAATTTTATTTCAATTAGTTTCAAGATTTATAACCAAATAAATAAAAAAAACATCTTTTATTTATATAATGTCTAATTAAAAATTTTTTTTTATATGAACATGTCAAAAAATGAACCCATGTTTTATTTGTAATATACTAAAATAAAAATAAAATTTGAAGAATGATTTTAATAGTACAAAGAACTATTGATTAATAAAAGTTTCTTTATGCACATTTGCATCAAAATGTTTTGTGATAGTGAAGTTTATTACTGATAGAACTCATATTTATAATGGTTATATTTATTAGCCCTCATTATGCCAAATCCCAAATGTTTTACAATCATTTTATTTAAGACGAGTATTATTAAGTCATAATTATAACAGATTAATCAATTTTCAATGTTCAACATTCAAGATAGCTATGAAAGTTACTTTAACTACTTTATAAATATTTCCAAAAAAGAGTAAATAATATCTTACATTTCTAGTATGACTGAAAAAGTATGTATATATTTTAGATAGTACAAAGAACTATTGATTAATAAAAGTTTTAAATATCAATAAACTTTTCTTACTTTTCCATTACAGTTAAGATAAGTATTAAATTTGTATAATAATGAAAGAAATTCTATTCCATTAAGTTTTTCAATATAATTACATGTAAATCCTTCATATAAGCCGTGTTTATTAGACCATTTCTGTAATAACTCATTGTTTTCTAATATTGATCTTAACTAAAAGTATAAATATTAAAGTAATTTGTTAAATCAATTTCTAAAAGTTTTTTTTTTTTTGTAAATTATAATTTGACATATATCAAAATCCAGACTGCTTTTAGGGACATGGAAAAATTTTCCTTGGGCCTTTAGCCCCTTAATATGAAACTGCATATATCTTTGTACATTTTATAAATAGTTTACAAAATCTCAAATTTTTATTTTATAAGACACTTACTAGATTTTTAGGTAATTTATCAATTCTTTCGCTGTAGTTAGAATATAAGTTATTCAAAGAATCAAATATAGGACCAAATATAGACTTTGGTGATAATTGATCAAAAAGTATGTTATGTTTATTTTTAAGCATTTCTTCTACATAATAGATCTTTTCAGCTGAAAAAAAACAAATTATTTTTAAATAGTCTTAAAGTTAAGAAATTTAATACAATTTGACAACTTAAATTTTTATTATAATATTCATAATTTAACAGAATTATTTTAATTAAAAAACATTTTTATAATACATACATTAATATAATAAGTGATAAAATTTTCATAATTTACAATGTAACTATAATTCTATCAAGACAAAATTATGATAAAGAATAAAGTGTTCAGATACATTTATCACACTATTGAAATACTAGCAACGAATATGATTGTTTCTTTTGTAAGAATATCTTAATTAATATGTTTTTATAGTTTGATGTTAAAACATATTATGCAAAGTCTATACATTTCAATTGGGGAGTGAAAATTTTTTAATTTTTTTGTAACGCTCCATTTCAACAAACTAAGTATTTATAGCAGCCATTATACAGATTTCATCAAATATCTCTCTGTATACTTTGATACATGTTTTATTATTGTGATTTAAATTTATTTCGTTTCTATATAAATATAATTATTATAAAACAGTGTAAACTACTGGTTTTGTTTTTCTAATAAAATTTTTTGGTTGTTTTCAGTTGTTTGGTCAAATTGTAAAAAAAGTATGACTAGAGTTTCCAGACAATAAATTCTTAAATATTGATATTGTAATGATTTGATGTAATATTTTATCATGATATCAAAAAATAAATAATATTATGATTGTTATAAGTCAAGCAAATACAGTGGCGCATATAAAATTTTGTATGAATGTCCAAATAGCTTTTAGAACATAGAATAGTGAAGAGTTTTACCTTCTATTACCCCCACTACTATGATATAATATCTATGGCGGATTTGGATACAGGGACCTTAAAAGTTGTCTTACTAAGCAAATATATATATAAGGTTTTCCACAAGGTTCTAAAAATACTTTTAATATGACAATTTATCAAAACCTTGTAAGACACTTTATATACATATCTGATCAATAAGGCAACCATGAAAGGTCTAACCCCCACCTACAAATGATATTAGCATTTGAAGATTTAGAAAAGATGATAAGTAGAATTTAGTTTAGTTACACTCTATTTTACCATAATGCACAGTTAAGAATGCTTCTATGTTATGCACTCTATTCGTCTATAACTAAAAATTATAACTACTCAAAAAGTTACAATATAATACTCGTTATCAAATTGTCAACATTTTCTTTAAACTATTCTCTATTAATAAGTAAAAAAAATCATAGTTTCTCAAATAACCTGAGTTTCTCAATTTACCCCTAAAATCTACTCTTAAGAGTAATTTTTTCCTACTATTAGCTTAATATATAGTGGTTTGTAAAAACTAATTGAATTTTAAACTATAAGTTAACACAGCCATCAGAGATTGATGGCTAGTCAAATCCACGACCAAGACGTCGTAGAGATATACCTTATCACTAGGCCAACATGTACTTATGATTCAGATCCTGATACACTTTCATATATATTGAAAATGTGAAGTGTGGCTAAGGGAAACACGGTATCGTATCAAAATTTTTATAAAAAAAATTATTACATAAATATTTGAAAAGCTAATTTTTTTACATTAATAAAAACATTGTGATATGATAAATTTTATGTTATTATAGTATAAACGTTATAGTATAAATTTTTGGTTTGGTTATTAAATAACAAAACCGAAAATTTAAGGTTCTACTATATCTAAAATATGCATTAGAATAAGATTTCAGTTTAGAAATTAAAATTTTTTAAGTATTTGAACATTTTTTTTTACAAAATATGTTAGTCCTATGTGATTCAAATGTCATTGATTTCCTCTAAAATTAATAGTTTTAAATATTAAACTAGTAATAGAATTTTTTCTTACCAGGTTTTATAATATCTACTAATCTAAGAGCCATAGGTAAATTAGTATTATCCATTTTTGTAACTAAATGGCATAAAATCTCATGAGTTACATATCCTAAATTAACAAATATTAAGCTAGATACTGGAAAAGCTTTTAGCATATTGTGATTCAGATTCAGTAAAAGTTTTTGATTATTTTTATTGAAAGATAACATAGAACTGCAACCACTTATATAAAATGCCTATTTATTAAAAAAAAAATGTGAAACATTTATTTAAATTAAATTGTAATCATACATACTTGTCTACTAGAAATCATAGAAGAATCAAGAGCAATAATTGATTGAGCACTTGGGGGTGAAAAACAGAATTTTTTAAATGTAGATGGTGGTTGAGTATATAGTAATGGAAGGTGACGCAAATCATCAGGTGACCAACCAGTAGTAGCATTTACTGCAGTAAGCCAATGGTGGTTTGCAATTTTATTAAATATCTGAAAAAAAAAACTACTTTCAACAAAAAAAGCTGTTTTATTATATTTTTATTCATTTATTTATTTAATAAAAAAGTAAGCTATTTTCTATTATTGTAGTTGATGAAGCCTTACTCAGCCTAAAAATACATAAATATTTATTATTAATAGTAAAAATTGAATATTTAACTGCATTTTTAAAAACAATAAATCAAAGAAAGTGAATCATACAAACCTGTTTTGCTACAGGGTAACTAAAATAATTGCTACTTGGTGATGGTATCGTTTCCTTTACATCAGCCCACTCTTTGTCATCGAATTCATCAAATTGCATAGGAGATAATTTAAATACTATCAATGGATAATGTAGTAAAATATCTCTCAAAGAATTATTCTTCATTATTATGTCAAATAAAAATCGAGTCTAAAAAATTTAATAAATTTTTAGACTTACAAAATATTTTTTATCTTATTGAATATTTACATCTATATATTTATTAAGTTATTGTAATAAATAGATTTTTAAGTTCATAAGTTATGTCTTAAACATAACTCTATAGAAAACATTTATCAAAATTTTAAGTGTAGATTTATCAAAATAAAGAAAAATAGAAAAGATAATTGACTTTTTTAATACAATTAATCTGAAATTGAAATTGTCATTTATCATAAGCTATTCGTAATTAAAACAATTTTTTTGGTAAGGGTAGTCACCTCTTTTTAATATATTTATTGGATTAATATTAGCTGCAAAAATTTCTCAAGAAAATATTTATAACAGCTAAATATTATTATTTTTTTTTTGTAAAAGGGGGATTAAATGATGGCTTTAACTTAACTTTTTAAATTACAATGTCCTTTTTTATTATGAATACTTACTTGTAAATGGTCAAATTCAATATCTTTCAAGGATTCTCTAGTTTCAGATGTATCAATTAATTTTAATCGTCTTATCTCATCATTACGTAAACCCAATACAATTAATTTGTACCTAAATATCACAAATTTTATTTTATTTTAAATTAAATGATATGTATTTATCATACTGATTTATTAGATGGTTTGTCCATTCTTCAAGAGGTATTGGAAGAGAGTTATTAATTGCTAAGAATGACCATAATCTTCTTATATATTTAGGTAAATTTTTCCATCTGTTATAAATTATATTACAACGTTCTCTGTGTTCACGGTTTTCATTTAAATCCAAATTATGTAGTCTTTAAAAATAATACATATTTTAAAGTCTAATTAAACATTCACAGCTTAACAAATTTAGTTACTTAATTATTTCAATTTCAATTTTAGGTATTTTAAAACTAAAAAAAATATGTATAAAATATAATCTATATATATAAGTGGTATATACAAAAATTAAATAATAGAATTTTTGTAGACAAAAATATTTTCATTCAAAAAAAATTTTCTATTATTTAATTCTTATACATAACTTATTTAGAATTTTGAGTTCAAAACATAAAATCTTAATTTTTGAGTTTTACAGTTCTGATTTGGAATATCAATATTGTAAAAAAAAAAGATATTTCATTGTAAACACTGCAGCACATGGATAATACTTACAATCTTTCAGACATATTTCTACTTCGTGTAAGAATAAAAGGAGGCCATAATCTTGGCAAAACACATATATTGGTTAATTTATGAAGTTTTCCATCCCTTCCTTCAATATTCCATTTGTATACTATTTCACCAATAGTATTTAAAACTTTTTCACTAACTATCGATTTTTGAGTCAACTATTAAGAGTATTAATTATTTACAATAAAACAAAATGTAATTAATAATGATTTTTTTGTACTTACAGTATTGAGAAAATCTATTCGTTGTTCATGCGTTAAAAGAGATTGAAGTATTTTTTTAGCAATTAAACTATTATCTTTGTGGGCATGTAAAATTAAAGCCAAATGAGATCCTTTTAAGTTTGTTAATTTGTTTATCTAAAATAAAGATAACATAGTAATTCTCTTTTTATACATGTGACAATATTCACTTACTGGTATAAAAAATAGTAAATTCTCTGGTAATGTAACAATTTCTTCAATATTTAAATCGATTAAAGAACCAAACACTAGTTTTTTTTTAAGTTCACGGGGAATATTATCAAACAAATAACTTAACTCAGACTGGTACTCTAACATTAAAAAAATTAAAAGTTAATAATATTCATATTAAATATTAAAATATATTTACCTTTAGTATTTTCGCAAGAATAAGATTCGTTAACTTTAAGAAGACATTGGATAGAATTACTGTGAACGTGTTTGTCAGCTAACAGCCCTGTTAATTAATATAATAGACAATAAGTTAATAGTTAATAAAAGTATTTAAAAATGCAAACCTGCAAATATTGAGTAAAGTAAAATTAAGGAATAAATATTTTTTGAAAAATTCATGTTTGCCAGTAGATTGAACATTATAGATATAAATATTCAATACTATTTGATTTTGTTGGACATACTAACATGATGGTTGAAATTCCCGACATAGGTATTTATTTCTAATCTAATCAAACTTTTATTTATAAACGTAACCATATCAATTCACCAGAAATATTCAACCGTCAACTCCGAGCATAATTTTCAGTTGTATATATTGTAATATAAATTAAAATTTAATGTAAATAAATCATCAGTTTTTGTATCAACTCAAAATAAGTTTATTAGTATCAAGCTCTTGAATTAGTCAACTTTTATTGATTGATTATCATATTTAACGGGTTATATTACTTTAATCCTAAATGTAATTTTTTTAATCACATATAATTCTTATTAACATAGGTAGTTAGTCAACTTATTCCTTAAAAGTAATCTATTCAAGAAAACGACTAGTTCGATAGCCACTTTTATACGAGTATTAAGAAAGCTATGAACAATTTAAAATATAGACAGGAAATTAGTGGAGAATCATCAGAATCGTAGCTAGATCTTGGCAAAACAAGCCCAGGTCAGGGGCACAACAAACAAATTTAACAAACTAAATTTGAAATAATATTTATATATTTTAAGCCAAAAATGTAATAAATGCAAAGAGCACAGATGTACCTTACTACGGCTATAAAAAGTATAACTATTTTTATCGTTAAGCATTGCTAAATAACCCTTCCTCTCGTTTGGCAGAGGAAGACCAAAAAAGAGATGAAGAGATGCTATTGAATGCGATATTAGAACAACTGATATGAGCGTAGATTTTGTGGGAGATTGTCTCAAGTGGAAGTTTAGGATAAGGGTGGATGACCCTAAGTAGTGTGAATTAAGGTGAGGAAAAAGAAGTTTATTTTATAGAGGAGGTTTAACGCTTAATTAAATTACCGTATAAATACGTATAGGCAGTGAATAACATGCCGCTCAGAACTTGTGTTAATTAATCAATTAACAGACCATCACACAGCGCGTTTCATGCATACTACGTGTGTCAAAAACGATAATAAAAATCAGTAGACAAAGAAATAACAGCCTTGGCGGAAAAAATACGGGAAATAATATTCATCGTATTTTTCCCCCAGTAATATTTATTAAATATTACTAAACGGGTAGCTAAGCGGCGGAAGGAATTTGACTGACAGATAGGACGCGTACATCGGTAATTATATGACCGGTATAAGTTATCATTGTTAATTGTGAAATAACAGGTGGTGGTGAGGAAGTGACTTGAATACACGGGTAGCTCCAAATAGAAATGTCGATAAAGTCGGACATCACAAAATAAAGATGCCAATAACTGTATTTTATAAGCTAATTTTAAAAATAACTTTTTCTTTTTTTCAACGATTACAAACAATAAGAACAATTGAAATCTTTGCTTACTGATCCCAAATAATCTGTCGTTTTTACTAAAATGTATCCGATACTGTTTAATTGTTTACTAAGAATCGTACGCTTGTACAGTAGAATAAAGTGTACCGTCAAGCCTGTTTTTTAGACTACTTTAGTCAATATTGATACACTTACAATCGCCCGTCAGTCATTAAATATCTAGTTGTACAATGAATAGTGTAGCGTTACGCTACAGCTTTGTCAGTTGCAAAAAAGTCCGCTGGACAGCGCTGTTTGACAACTTTTATTCAAAAGAATATAAATGAATGTATTTTTTTATTTTTTATAATTTTGATCGTAATGTTGGTAAATTATTTTATGTTACATATCAATCTTAACGGGAACTCGAAAATGAAATAGGAAATTAGAATACGCATTTATTCATTGGAGGGTATTAAAAAATAAATTATCTGTGGGCGATCGTTCTACATTACTCAGGTGGTGACGGGTAGTATAAAGTACACCGTCACTATTAAATTATTCCAGTTGTACTAATAATTGTTCTCATTGATAATTTTATAGCATAAGTAGTAACCGCTTTTACTAATAAACGCAATTTCGTTGCCGACTAGCTGCATTCATTCATATTTCCAATTGTGTAGGTTTATTTATATTTCCTTACATCTTATTACGTATTATAAATTTTTCTACAGTGTTCGTAATTAAGCAGCGCTTAACCAACCGTGATCAAAATTATATATTTTAAAGTTATTTTTTATAAAAGTTAGTACAATCTTCAACGGTGATCATAACCTCCGTGTTATCAACCGTGATCAAGATAACTGTCTTTTTGTAAAAATCCCCTTAACCTTTTGCAACGGTGTTCGNTGTCTAATAATTCTAGTTGTACTAATAATTGTTCTCATTGGTAATTTTATAGCATAAGTAGTAACCGCGTTTTACTAATAAACGCAATTTTGTTGCCGACTAGCTGCATTCATTCATCTTTCCAATTGAGTAGGTTTATTTATATTTCCTTACATCTTATTACATATTATAAATTTTTCTACAGTGTTCGTAATTAAGCAGCGCTTAACCAACCGTGATCAAAATTATATATTTTAAAGATATTTTTTATAAAAGTTAGTACAATCTTCAACGGTTATCATAACCTCCGTGTTATCAACCGTGATCAAGATAACTGTCTTTTTGTAAAAATCCCCTTAACCTTTTGCAACGGTGTTCGTAACTACTTGTTACCAACCGTGATACAGAGGGTTATACTTCTACTTTCACCCTAAATTAAATAGTTTCTAAAATAAGACTGATATGATAGTTAGCTGTTTAATATATATATATTCATCTTTTTTAAAATAAAACATAACAAATCGATTATTTGAACAATTTGCGTTGTATTTTCATATTTAAAGTTAGTAAAAAACAAATTAAAAAGAGATCAAACCTAGAAACGTTTCAATAGTCCTAAACAATATACACTATATTAAAAAAGTAAGGAAACGGGTCAATTGTTTAATATATGCACTAAAAAGTAAATATGAAAAAATTTGTACAAAGAAAAAATACCGACCAATAAATCTACTATGAAAAAATTCACCGAATAAAATAAAATGAATCAGAGTAGAGTTAGAATAAAATCATTTTATAAGAATAATAATATAATTTTTTGATATTGTTGGAGTCGATACCAGACAAAAAAATAAACGTGTTTCATAATCAACTACAAGACATCAAACGCTTGATGTTGAACAGCACGCACACAGTATGGACATATACTGGACGGTGAAAGGGTAACACAGTTTAGTGGCGACAGGAACGCTTGTAAACGTGGAGGGAGGGCAGACGTTGTTGACTGTTGGCATAAAAATTTTCGAATTTATTTATAAATAAATTAGTGATGATAAAATGTTATTTATTTTAGTAGCATCTTATTATGCTATAATTGTTTTGGAGTAGAAGTAAAAAACAAAAGCTATTGATATTTTTTAAAGAAATGATGAAACTGCTAACTTTTTATTATTCGATTCGATGCGTAGCTAAAAGGCTATTTGTTATACTAGCAGCTACATATTGCTATTAGGAAATAACAGTGCTGAAATCACTACTACTACTATTCCTTACCACAACTTACTGTTCTATTCTGTACCACGTCTGCTGTATTGTCGATTATAACATTAAATGTATACATTGTATACCCATTTATACTAAGCTGCTTCATTGATACAAGTTTGTGAACCTGGCCTAGCACCGACTCCAATAATAATAATTGTAAATTATTATCCTAATAAATTAACTTTATTCTAATTCTAATATGACTTATTTTATTATTTTTAGTAAATTTTTTTGATCTTTTTTTCTTTGTAAAAATGTCGTAATAAATAAATACATATTTTATATTTTTTCAAGTATTTAATATACATGATGGATTTGACGAAGGATTTTAATAAAACTTGCATCGTGACACCCATTTTCATGACCCTCATACGTCAATCGTAAATAAAATAAATTCAACATCTTTTAAGGTTTTATTGATCCTCGTAAATCATAGATGTAAATACTACCTCCCTTTAAAAAATAAATTAAATATTATGTTAATTGTTAATCATCCATCCACTATAAAATATTTTATATGGAATCAAAATAAATTTAAAATGCTTGGAAAGGAGTTTATGTTTTTATCCGACTTTTAATTTATAGAAACTGCTTAAAATCGATCATGAACTCCAATAAATTTTTTTTAAACTTTTAAATTAAAATTAAAAAAATATTAACTCATTCATGCCCAAGGTTTTGAAACTTGATAAATTTAAAAACTTTTAAACAATCAAATTTTGATTGCGAAAAGAATATTCTTGTGCAGATACGTTCAAAATGTTGTGAATGGCCTTTGGTGATCAAACTATGGCACAAAAAAACATTTATAAGTGATACAACGAGTTTAAAGCGGGCCGAGAACACGTTAAAGACGAATTGCGCTCTGGACGACCATCAACGTCCATTATACTTAATCCAACTGTGTCGCGACCCCCTGTGCTGGGTTTTTTGTATAATATCTCTGTAAAAATTACAATATTATATTATTGAATATCAATTTCATACTAAATTGAATTACTATAATTATTATTTGTTCATATATTATAATTATAAATCTTAAAACTTGTAATCGGGATAAAATTAAAGTAATAAGAGTTATTGTTGCTATTGAAATCATTTATCAATTTCTTAATATTAAACACTATTTATAGATTTGCATTAAAACATTTCTTATGATAGTGATTTTAATTATTGTCAGATATCATTTATACTTGTCCAAACTATACTACGTTCATACTGTGCCGCGACCCCACTGTGCTACCGTTATTTTTATTTGAGACAGTATATTTTATTAAGAGATCGACGCCAATATTTTTTAAAGCTACCTCTGCCAAAACTAGCTGCCCTCCTTTGAAATTTCAAAATTAGTCCGAACACAAAAGTGGAAAAAAGAAAGGAGGGCAGCCAGTACACTCACCAGCGAGAGGGAACAAAAAGTAATTAGATCACCAATTTTATATTATCCGGGCATCTCAAATGGATTAACTAAAATATTTAAGAATTTTGGTATTACTTTGGTAACATCTAAGAGTAATAATTTAAGAGATTTATTAGGTAACCCTAAAGATAAGGTAGATGAAGGGGGGAAATCAGGCATTTATAAAATACAATGTGAAAGTTGTAATAAATGTTACG